GGAAACATTTTGGCATGTTCCGAGTGGGCGTGGGTGTTCCCAGCGACACGAGAAATGTTTCCGAGTTCTTCTGTCGAATCTTAAATCTTTTATAATGCGCATTCCGAGAATTTTTGTTGACGTATTTGCTTCTGGCCAATATATACAGATTATATTAACTAAAATAGATCATTTAAAGACATCTTTTGGCTGACAAATCGTCCATTTTTGGTTGGAATTCGGCAACACCCCAGACAGACCCAAACAGACCCATCAACAGGCCATTCAAAATCATAAATTTCAATTCAAGTTTATTTTGCTTTTCGACTGGCCTGGCCAAGTGGGTGCCTGGCCTCTACTGTCCACCCTATGGTTGTCTGTTTGTTTATGTTCATGTATAAATTCTATGAATTTTTTAATAGTTTGTATAGTAATTTCGTATGCAGGCGGCGTGCTCATGGCGCAAAAATTTATTTCAATTGTTTGCTTTGGAATTTATGGCAGACATTTTGTGATTTCGAAATTGTGTAAAAATTGTATAGCTTAGCTCTCAAGATGGTACGATCGTACATACACCTAGTCGTGTGTTTTTTTTTTTTGGGTGGTGTGACTAATGTGATCGACCCACGCAGGGCCGGAGCCTCGGAGCTGAAAGTCCGTAATTGACACCCACTTGTTGAATTCCGTGCATCCCATTGGCTAGATGGTTCACCACTTTCTTAGATAAGAGGCCCCAAACCCAACCGCCTTTAACTTTTTTTTTTTCTTATCTCATGACCCGACGCATGCGCAGTTCATTGACTTGCTTTTTTATGGCTGGAGGGTTGGGAGGGGCACTGGAAATATTCAAAATATGCATCTGGCTGGGTCGTAAAATGCATTTGATAAGCTGGGGGGACAGGCATCGGAGTGATTTCCGGTTTTTATCATCAGCGGAAGGAAGTGCAAGTGTGAGATAGACGAGATGCGAACAGGAAATGCAGTTAATAAGCCCCAGTATATCCCCAGGCGAGAAAAATTCCAGAGTGAATAGCACTTGGAATCTGGTTCCAAGTCAAGTTAAATGGGCAACGCACCGACCAGGCCCGACTACGACTACGAACGGCGATAAGATAAAACCGACGTACGACCTTTATAGCGTAATTTGATTAACGCTCGAAAATATTTGTGAACTGACAGATAATGGAACTCAACAGCGGCAGTGGCGGCAAATTATTTTTACAGCAAATAATGTGAGTGATTATAATTAAACATTGTTTTCCACAATGAATCTTTCTCAAGCATCGGCCTGATAGCGATCATGACTTTTGATTTATTTTTCGACTATAAATAAATGTGATTCTTAAAGGAGGAAAGTATCTAAAGTTGGGCTGGGTAATCTTGAAATAGATTAAAGTTATGTAGACCAGATAAGGCCCACCTCAGTTCTCAGTTCTATTGGATAACTAACCTCCATTAAGTCACCGCGATAATTTCTCTCTTCTTAATTTATTTACGGAATTGGAGTAAAGTATCTGGAACCTGTCCTAATATTTGATCTACACACGTATCGATTGCTTAATTATAAAGAATTTATGATCTCCCATTGCCCCCCATTAATAAACGTATCTGTGAGATACTCTGGTTGGTATGTCAAGGTGATGGCTGGCTCTCTGATCAAATTGGGTTTATAATACAGAGATTATATGATTCTTGCATACATCAACATGGCATTAATTTCCCAAACCACTTTGTGCTCTGGTCTCTCGATGGAATATAAACCGGAACACTTGTGGCTCTACTTGCGTGTTCGACTTTTTCAGTTCCGCCAAAGAAATATATAATTGAAATGGAGTAAATCTGGCCAGTGGCTACGTGACTAGATTGCTGAGCCTATTTTTTTGTGTTATTTGTTTTTTCCTCGTTTTTTTTTCCATCATCTGCCTAATATTATGCTTATTTCGGAGTGGGGCTTGATTGACGCAGGCCTCGATTTGAATTGCTAAATGATCTCAGGCTATCGCAATGAATGGCCGGCTAATTTGTGAGATATTCTCCCCATGTGAATTCATTAAAAACTATTTTTCAAGAAATCAATTTGAAAAAAGAATTCAAATGAGTGGGGGATCTGGAATGTTCAGATGTGAGTTTGAATAAAAATAGAACTCCAAAGCAGGTCTTAGATAGCAATAATATTTAAAGAACTTTATTTAGAGAATAGTTATAGTATTGTAGGAATATTCTCTTAAAGTTTATTGGTCATCAAGCGGTCGAGACTCTGCAGACCATCCCGAGCTTATTATGGCCGCGAATTAGCATAAAACTGGACGTGAACAGTTAAATAATAGAGTGTGTCCGAGTGTGTGTCTGCAGTTAACTTAAGTGCTGCCTAATGACAACTTCTCTCTGGCCATTCAGCCATCGTCTTGGCCAAAATGCCGTGCCCATATTGCTTCCCTCATACATATATTGTGACAACAAAATTCATGCTGAAATATTTTTTGGTCAGAAACTTGTTTCTGTTTAGAGACCCGGCTCTAAAGCGCGAATTTATTACAACTCTTGGCCGCTGCTCGGTCGCCGCGCCATAAATATTTTGTTTACAATATAATATAATTTATGCAGCTTTGTGGTCCGCTCTTTTCACGTTTAATGTGGGCCGGATTCAGAGTCTCTTTCTCGAAAGGCCAACACGTCGTTAGCCGGGCCAGTGAAGCCCTATTACTTGCCACGCCCACACCTCTGTTGGATGTCCGATGTGTGCATTTTCATTGATTTTCTTTCAAAGGTACTCTTCTGAGGTCAAGCTCTGATGGGAAACCCATAAAAATGGCTTAGAATTTTCAAAAGAATTTAATTGCCATTTACTGAGAGCCGCACTTGACACCTGTCCCCCTGCCAGGGTGCTTTTGATTAGATGATGGGTAGAGCCCCTCCTGATGAACTCAAGTTCCTATCTTGGCATTTTAAAGACCTACTTATGGTGAGAAGATAACCGAATATCACGAGGACATAACAATTGCATAATTGGCTTTAGATCGGGTTTCTCTCAATCTTGGAATATGATTTGAAAATATAGTTCCAACGTTCTTCAAAATCATGCAGTTATCCAGTGACTGTCTTCGATCGTGAGCTCTGGCTTGTCATAGCTTGGAGCTTTGGACCCCTGAACCCGTCCGGCCACTGGCACATGTCCCCCAACTGCATTTTCTGTATCATTTTCTATATTTTCGTATTATTCTAGTCTCTTTGTCTGTCTCTCAAGCAAGTCTATGTTTTGGTGTCACTTTTCTTTTGTCTTTACTGGGTAGCTGGGTAGATGAACCTTGTTCCGCTTATTAAAAGCGTGAATTAAAATTTAATCAACTCCAATTAATGAACAATAAGGCCTGCATAGATGTGTGCACTTTTGCGATAATAGGCTATCGCGAATGGCTCTTGGCTGTGGCCTGGAGTTCCTGCCAAAATGCACGTAATACCTCTCTTTTTTTAATAAGGGGGTTAACCTTTAGGTAGCTAGTTTAAGATTAGTTCTCTTAAACGTGCCATATTTAAAAAATCTAACTGGGTAATGGTCTTATTATGCAACTATCATAGGTATCAAGACATTTCCGCTTTTAAATATTTAATGATAGATCTCTAAACTTTCTTAAAAGTATTGTTTCCAAGGGGCCTTCTAAATGCCTTCATTTGGCCACCACCTTTTATTGCATCCGGTGCTCAAGACGTCATCGATTGCAATCTAATAAAGTCCACCTATTATCTGGGTATTTTACGTATGTTTGTTTAATAAATCATAAGAAATTGCACCTGAGATTAGCTAATCTCAAGTTTCCTCACTTTATGAGTTTGGAAACAAGCCCTCTTATGATTTATAGCCCAAGTCCTCATATCAAATATCAGATTTAGTTAAATTGCGAAAAGAACATCAATAGTTGGGTTAGTCAGAGGCGACTACTGCGTCAACAATCGATTCCAGATAATGAACTGCGATTTAAAAAAATATACGTATAAACAGATATCTAGAGAAGCAAACAGAAGGCACTGACTCGTGGCCAAATATTCTGAGAAAATTGCAGACAGACAGACTGTCAGTTGAGCTGCCATCTGCGTATCTGTAAACAGGCAGATACTTTTAGTATATCCGAGTGCAGATACATTTTCAAAGAATCGGTCAAGACAAAGAATAGAAGTCACCCTATCGAATGATAAGGATATTGTTTATTTTAATTATAATTTATGGGATTCAATCCCAGCTATCGTTTAATGAACTGCCTACCATAAAGCGCTTTACAAACCCGAAACGCACTGCCCGGGTATATCTATCGCAGATTTTATTATCTGTCTATATGCCTATATGTTCGGAAGCCTCCATATTTTAATGGCCATGCGAATTCCAAAGCAATGATTAATTAACAGTCCCAGTTGACGGGCAGAGCCTTAAAGAAAAACAAAAATTCGCCACAAATATGGGATATATGCGAGGGTATGAATATATATGTGTATTCAACAATCAATCCATGGCGATTAGCAATTATCGTTGGAATGCGAAAATGCTGTTGTCTGTGTCTGATATGGAAATAGAGTTTTGTTGAAAAATAACCAGGTTGAGGGGCCGAGGATTGCAGCGCCAAACAACGTCAAGACTTTGTCATCGCCAGTTGGCCAGTTTTTGGTTTTGGAATTTTTCCCTTTTGCCGCGACTGGGGACTGGCCTTTGTTTTGCTTTCTTGCCCGCCTGGCCTACCTTGCCGCACTATGCGAATATTATGGCCTCGATAAGATTAGAGGCGGAGGCATTTGGCAACAACAAACAGAGCCCAGACATTCCGCCGCATGGCTGCGGCAAAATCGGTATTTCTGCGACATTTTTCCCCCGGCTCGGAGATGGCCAACTTTTACCCAAAATGCACACACAGGAAATGCCGTTAATCTTATCGAATTGGCCAGGCTAACTGGCGTGGGAACAGCTCCATTACCATCCAAGATGGAGACTATCTGAAGGCCTATTACTAATATTTTATTAAATTATTTCTTTGCAGCTACACGAAGCCACAGACCTTCGAGGACTGCGTGGGCGATGAACTGCCGATGGGCTGGGAGGAGTCCTATGACCCCAACATTGGCCTCTACTACATCAACCATCTGGCCCAGAGCACCCAGCTGGAGGATCCGCGCCAGGAGTGGAAGAGCGTCCAGGAGCAGATGCTGAGCGACTACCTATCCGCGGCCCAGGACCAGCTGGAGAACAAGCGCGAAATGTTCGACGTGAAGCAGCAGCGCCTGCTCTGGGCCCAGGAGGAGTACAACCACCTCAAGCTGGCCGCCAGTAGAAGCAGCCGTAAGTAGAAGCTACCTTCCAAGCGCCATTCTTTAACTAATAACAAACCCTCTATCCTCTTCAGTGTGCTCCTCCTCAAGCTCGATGAGCCGGCACGATCCCGAGCTGCTGAGAGCTGACCTGATGCTGGCCCGGGAACGAGTCCATCAGCTGAAGCAGGAACTGAACCATATCACCAACGACATATCCTACACGGAGCGCGGCATGAACACCCTGTACTCGGTGGGGGAGAAGATCAACGCCCGCCAGAACGGCTGCTACGACATCGCCGAGGTGCAGGCCATTCGGGAGGAGATGCTGAAGGTGCACAAGTCCCTGGTGTCCGGCGAGAAGGTGCGCGAGGAGCTGATGCGCAGCCTGGTGCAGATCAAGAACGAGCTGAGCCGCCAGCAGATCAGCGAGGAGAACTCCGACCTGGCCTCGCCCTTCGACCGGGTGTGTGTGGCCAGTCAGACGGATCTGTGCGGCTCCACCGGCGACAACCTGAACGGGGGAGCCCGGTTCGCGGAAATGGCCAAGACCAAGCTGCAGTACGCGGAGTGGCGCAAGCACATAAAGAAGCTGCAGCAGCAGCTGGCCGATCACGTGGAGCGCATCGAGCCGGGCCAACTGGAGTCCGACAAGGACCGCATTCTGCTCATCCAGGAAAAGGAGAAGCTGCTGAATGACCTGAACAGCATCTCCCTCAAGTCGCGCAGCGAGGAGGAGAAGCGGGTGATCCAGCAGACGCGAAACAAGCTGGAGGAGGACCTCAAGGAGGCCTACGAAGCCAACAACACCTGCGTGGCCAACCGCCTGCGCTTCCACGAGGAAAAGCAGCTCCTGCTGGACAAGCTGCAGGAGGCCCTGAAGTCCACCAAGCTGCTGGAGGAGCGGCTGAAGTCCTTCTCCTCCGAGAGCACCTTTTCGATTAGCAGCGGCAGCAGCTTGGGATCCCTCTCCACCGCCAGCAGCAAGAGTGCTCTGAGCTTCACCGATATCTACATTGATCCCTTCGCCGTGGACTCGCCCATCGATGTGGTGGACCTGAGACGCCGCTCGCAACGATTGTTCCAGCAACACCAGCGCCTTCACCCAGTACATCCTGGCTTGCAGCAACAGCAGTCCTCGGAGGTGTCTCTTTCGCCGCGCAGCAGCCTGTCCATGGAAACGCCGCCCGCCTCGCCGATGAAGTACAATCCAGGCGCAGATCAGGCGACCCAAGCACTCAAAGAGGAGCCTACCTATGCCAACGCTCTGCCCGCGCCTCCCGCCTACACAGCCCCGCCCCCAGTGCCGGTGTCGGGCGTCAGAGCACGACCATACGACCTAGATTCCACCGTGCTGGATTGCATGATGCTGGAGGCCAAGCTGCAGAAACTGAACCTGGGCACGCCGCTCAACCTAGCCGCAGCCCCCCTGTCTCCGATTTCGGAAAAGCCGTCGCTGCTGGATCTGCCGCAGGAGATGCTCAGCAGGTCCTCCTCCACCTCCAACACGCGATCCGTGTCAGCGGCCGTCAGCAACGAGTCGGTGGCCGGGGACTCGGGCGTCTTTGAGGCATCGCGTGCCCATCTGCCACGCAAGGAGCTGGCCCAAGTCCAGATCGGACTCAAGTATTTGAAGCCGGAGGGCGTCTTGGTGGTGTCTCTGGAACGGGCTAATAATCTTCTGGCGCTGTGGACAGCTTCGGCAGACAACTCGCAAGTGTAAGTGGACTGTGGATTGTATTTTTTAAAGAATCTTTGGAATAATAATAATTATTTATTTATTTTAGATACCTACGTGCTGCCTTGCTGCCCAACTCGCTGACCTCCATTCGGACAAAGGCGCTGGGGGATTTCCAGAAGCCCGTCTTCAACGACACCTTCGCCGTGCCCATCACGCTGGACAAGCTGCTGACCAAGAGCCTGCAGGTGACGGTGGTCACCATGACGGGCCAAAAGGAGGAGATCATTGTAAGTCCAATCAGTGGTATTGCCAAAAGAGATCTTACTTATCTTACTTGGCAAATTTCAGGGCACAGTTCAAATCAGCATGGCCGAGTTCAACCCGGAAGACTCCACCCTAAAGTGGTACAACGTGCTCAGCTCCAAATTCATTCCCACCTTTGAATCCCTGGACATTCCCTCCACCAGTGCCGCCGCAGCTGCCGCCGCCGTTGCCGCCAGTAACAACAATCGGGAGGAGTCTTCGGACGAGTCCACCATTACCTCCTCGCAAACGTCCACGCTGACGCGCAACCAGGCGCCGCCCATGGAACTGCAGGCCCAGATCGCCGAGGAGCAGCCAGAGCAAGGCCGTCTCAACGACCAGGACGGCAGCGATGACGACGACGATGACGAAGAGGAGGAGGAAGATGACAAGCAGCTCATCAGCGATGTTGGCCTAATGAACTGTAAGTTTAGAAATATATATTCCTATTCATAAATTAAATACTATTATTGAACTTTATAGCGAGCTGCATGCTAGATGCCTATATGCAGAACATGAAGCAGGAGTTCGCCGACAAGGAAACGAATACGGACTGCGCCTTCCTGCCGGAGAAGTCCCGCGGCCAGTCCCAGATGATGGATGACAGGCCCGTGAAGCGATCCCAGACCTTCACGCCCTCAGCGGCCGTCAGCAAGAACCGCTACAACTGCCGGCTCAACCGCAGCGACTCTGATTCTGCAATGCATTGCGGAGTGGCGCCACACACCTTCCAGCGTGGTGCTGCCGAGCGGAGATCCCTGCGCTTCCACCCCAAGGCTCCAAAGTCAGTCACAAGTAAGTTTAAAAGAAATACGATTTAATATTAAGACAATAAATTAATATTCTTAACTATTTTTTTTAATCAGAACTGCATCATACTCACATACCACGCACCAGCTTGGACTTGGAGCTGGACCTGCAAGCCCAGCACAGCAAACTGTACTTCCTTAATGACCAAATCGCCAAGCTGCAGAACCTCAAAGAAGTGTAAGTAAAGCTGAGAGGATTTCCAAGATGATTCCCTACTAATATGAACTATTGCAGTTTGCAGAAAGCTTGCGAGAACAAGGATCCTCTGATTGCCGCGTGGGCCATTGAGAACGAAGAGTTCCAACGCCTGGTGGCTCGTGCCGATCCCGCCAAGTGTCCCGAAGAGCGTCAGCTGCAAAAGCTGCTCATGAAAACCGCCAAAGAGATCCACAAGCTGCGCAAGACCAAGGTGCCCAAGGGTTGCCCTGATCTAGTGTCGTTCAAGTAAGCATCTCACCCACCTTCCCAAAAGGAGACTTTATTAATTTCAAATATTTCATCGCAGGGAGAAAATTACTTTCTTCACGCGCAAGGGTATGTCAGTGCCCGAGTTGCCCAGCGAATTCACCTTGCCCGAAGCCAATACAATCCTCTTCGAGGAGGAAGAGGAGGAGGAGGAGGAAGAGGACGAGGATGAGTTCTATAACAATGCTGCTGAGACGGCCATTGCCATCAACACGGCACTGGTGGCGAGCAACAATCGAAACAAGAATCTCAGTGATCACCAGAATCGAGTTGCCAGCGGTGCTGTGCCCAAAGTACCGGCTACACCAGCCACTCCAGCAGCTTCTCCAGCCGCCAATCCTCCTCCAGCCACTCCTACCACCACTCCGGCTACTCAAGCGACTCCTACAGCAGTTCCTGTTCCCGTGGATGACAACAATACGGAGCAACAGCGCTACGACTATGTTGTGGATCGCACTTACGGCGTAGAGGTCTAACCACCTCGTCCGCTTCGCCCCATCGCTGTACATTTTTGTAATTAATTTAGTATTTATTTTCGCTAAGCAACAAGTATTTATGTGTATAAACAACTGATGTAACAAATATCTGTGCCTTATAGAGAACGTGAGATAGAGAGAGAATGTAGAGGAGAGATGACCATGCTAATGAAATGATATATTTACGCATAGTTATGCTGTAGACCTAAGCACTATTTTTATATTTAGCCTAGAACCGTAGCCTAGCAGACCCAACTAGACCCGTGGTCAGTTGTACAAATTGACCCCCCACTGATGACCATATAAGCGAAACTGAGAGATACAAAACCACCATACAATGCCCCCACCCAAAACGAAAGTAAAATATTAATAACACAGCACCCCGCACAAAAATTCAAACAAAACGCGCACATTGTGCGTTCAATGAGCCCCCTTAAATTCATATTGAAACCAACTGTATTTATAAGACTTGAGCAAAATGATACGAATGTTTATAAATATTTTTATACGCGTCTAGGAATAGTAATACCACCTACCTACCGCCTTGACTACCCAGGCCACTCAAGCCACGTACACAAAACATGAACGAAGTGAAATATTTATTGTATTCTATTGATGGATGAGCGTATAGCACTCGAATCCGATCGGTTAGGTTAGTTAGCTTGCGTTTTTGTTAAGCTCAAAACGAATTCTTATAATATAATTTTTTTTATAAAAAAATCCTATGAAATCCTATACAAAAAAAATATAATATGAATAAAAAATGAACCACACAAAAAAGTGAATGTACCATATTAGATAATCGTCACTATTTTAACGTTAAGATACCCCTTAAACCACAAACCTAGACCCCCATTGAAAAGCGAGAAAACCATGAAATGAAACCTTGTTATGCTTCCACGAGCGAACCTGTTGAAACTGTTGAACTCTTTGCGACGAAGCACTGAATTTTTATGAAATGATATGAAATTACCCTCAGCTCTAGTTTAGTGTAGGTTCTGTGCAAAACTTCTCTGTTGTTTACGTTTTCACTAATCCATGCCCAGACCCCGAAAACACACAAAATTAGTTAGTAGAGCAAAGAGTCCCCACGCATATTTTTTCAATACTGTAGTAATTTTAGTTTTAATAAATTATATGAAAGTGAACATGTATGTATATTGTAATTGTGCAATAAACAAACAAAAAAATACTGACATAACTGAAAATTGTGTGTTTTAATAAGATAAAAATACATTTTATTTCAGATAAATAATTAAAAAGTTTCTAAAACAAAATTTGAAGGTAATTTTAAATTGCGCGGTTTATCATTTCGATAACGATAAACTATCGTTTGAAAATGGAAACCTGTCTGCACTCACGCGCGCTTTTGCTGCTCCCATCCATAATCTCCCGGCCACACGTTTTTGTGTTTGGTTGTTGACAATTTTAAAATATTGTAAGGTACCAGGATACAACGCCAAGATGGACGAGGATATAGAGATTATGCAGTTGGACAACGTGGAGTGTGAGGTGTGTGGCGAGAAAACCTTCCAGCAGCGTGAGGGCTACTACTACTGCATCGAATGCGGCACCCAAAAACAACACATTCGAGCGGTGGATCTGACGGCGGAGGAAAACTTCAATGAGACTGTGGCCCGAAAAACAATCCGCCAGCCCAAGGACGAATCTAAGGCGAAGGACGTCGACATCACCTCGTGGGAGTTCTACAACTATGTGCTGCGCGGGTTCTTGCAGGAGCTGCTTAATATGGGAGCCAAGCCCGAACTGAAGCTAATGACCCTGCAGGTGTGGGCAGCGTACATGGGCCGGATGGAGGTGGCCTTCTGCAATAAGAACGCACTGGGATTGCCCAAATTGAATGTCCGGGTGCTGCACAGGTGGGCATGATGGTTATGCTTGTAAATAGAACCATATAATGTAATTTCCATGTTTTCTCCAGGGATGCTCTTATAATTTACAACCGAAAACGGGCAAAACGTATAAGTGCCAGAAGAAACAGTGCCCACGGTCCTATCGATGATCTTTCAAAGAAACGGTTGTGGAACAAAACAAAGGTACTTGCATACTCCATTAATATTTATTAATTAATCAACTATCATTTTTAAGAGAAATAAAACTCGTTAGGGAAGAGCAGCGGCAGCAACAGGAATAGAGTACGGGGTTTGGCCTCAACAATGGGGATTCCGGGAGTCTGCTCCATAGGCAAAGGAACTGAAAGGGATTTATCTTTAAATTAAAATAATATGTTAGAAATGGATATACTCACCCTCTGTAACCTCTTGAGAGACATCCGAAACGGGCAGGGCATAGGCCACCGCCATGATAGCCAGGAAAATCAAAACCGAATGCAAAGACATTTCGTAAAAGCTTACTGAAGTGGCAAGATAGACTTCTGAATGGTTTTCCACAGACTTTCTTGTGCTTATATATAGCACTAGAAACTTACATAATTACCCAACTCATTAGTAGATCTAGTCTTCATTAGTGTTATCTACAAAACCATTCTAAGACCTTGTTCTTATTTTATTCTTTTAGCGAAAACTCGATGCCTCGGGTTATACAAAGACCACGAAGCAAGAGGAGTCCCTCGGAAAGCAGAGCATTGGGTTGCAGTGGTCGGTGAGTGCCCGTAAGTCCTTGAAGAAACAGATGCCGTTGAAGCATCTCGATAAGCACAGCCAAGATGGCAGCAGTAGCATGATGTGCCATGGACTGAGGCCCAAGGTGAAAACTTTGCGGTTCTTCGACAGGAATATATATAGCCTTAATCTCACAAAGCTGTACATCGTGTTGGCCATTGCTTTGAACATGGTGGAGGACGACATCCAGCTGTCGGATCTAATACGATTCATCAAGGAGGAGCACCTCTCCAGTCGTGGTATTCTCACTTACCTGCCGGACAATTTGGCCAGCAAAGGCAATGCGTGGATCAAGGAAATGGAGTTTGGCAACAACAAGGACAAATGCACTTACAAGGTAGGGCTGTGTGGTATCTAGATGACATCTTATAAAATATTACCTTTAACCCTACAGTTTCTTCGCAACCAAATTTGTTATGTATCGCGCTTCGTGGACCTGAGTCCATTTCAAACCCCAAATCTCGTGGGCTTGGCTGAGCGCTACATCTTAGAGCTGGGACTGCCTCCTCGTCTTGCTAACTATGTTGGGAGTCTTATTAAGCTGTATCCGCCCTCATTCAAGACTCCAATGTCGTCATACACCTATCCCCGTTTCGAGGCCAGAGTAATGGCCTACATTCTGTACGTCATGAAGCTTTTGTTCGGCCTGGACGACGACAAGGAAATAAAGATATCCGAGTCAGCGGCTGATGTCAATGGAATAATTAGAAAAAAGGAAATTGGAGCTCCACTGCTCTTTGTTTTCACCGAATGGATGGAGTTTGTGGAGCTTCGGAAAGTTTTCATTTCCCGCTACAACCAGAGTTTCGCGCGACGCTTCAAGGAGACTAAAACATTGTCCGGCCAAGTCGATGAGATCCTTTCCAAGGAGCGCAAGCAAAAGGAGCAGGACTACAGCTTCGAAGGACTTCCGAAGAACCCAGCATTGCAGCGTCAGTACGAGAACATGACCCTAATGGTTGAGAAACTGTTGAAGGAATGTTTTGGCGAAACCAGTGCTGAAAGCATCAAAAAGGAACACATTGAGTTCCAGCCCACCCTGACCCCAGCACACTCGTACTTCCAACGCATCCTGCTGGAAGACTCCAGAACTGAGGGTGCCACATCGGGAATTCAAATCCCCGACTGCATGCGCGTCAATCACTCCGAACGGAACCTGGATCCTTTCATTTTGGAAACGGACGATCTGTCCCGTATCGTGTCTGAAGAAGGATATAAACTAAAAGTGGAAGAACTGCCTTGTCAAGAGGAATTCCACAATGTAGGTATCTTCTATCCCTTGCATTTATATCAACCGAAAAAGCAGGAGTTCCGCGCCAATTTTGACATCAAGATGGGTACATATCTCGATGAGATTAACAAGAAGGAGAAGCGGCCGGACTTTAAGTTCCGCTTGGCAATCGGCACGTATGGCCCAGCCTATCTGGCCCGAAAGCAGCTCTCACATTCGGAGAGGTTGAATAGGGGGAGAGAGAACAACCCTTACGTCTTAATGGATGAAGCTCCAAGGTATCTACTCAAGATAAACAACGACAAGGTCCTCCTGGACAGTCTCAGCTCTCTACAGACTTTTAGAGAGGAAAGTATGGATCCCCTAAACGTACCCCTCGACCAGCCCAGACGTCATCTGGATGCGGAATCTGTTTCTGGTTCCGAGCACAAAACGGTGCCCAGTGAGACTGAAGATGATGATCAGAGTCCGGAGGAAGTACTATTGAATGTCTCCAACTTTGATATTTGGCTGCTTCATGGATTCATGAATCAAATCAGGGAGTCCGACAAACGCCAGGTGCGCCAGCTTTTCCCCTACTCCTTTCGGTGGCTGCTGGAGTATTGTGCCTCTACCATCGATGTCAACTGGGAGGTGCTCTACGAGCAGCTGGTTATCCTGGAGGTGATGCTCCACCACAGCATCAAGGATTGGAGCGAATACAAGCGGGTGCTGAGAATCGATTATGAAAGTTCGAACAAGGACATGGCCACGCTGTCTAGAATTTATAAAGAGTTTTGGTAAATTTTTAAAAGGCTGGTTATTTTTTTACTTTATAATGAAAAATAATAAATTACTTATAATAATTGTAAACTTAAATATTAGCATAATAATTGTGTATTCTGTGAGCTATGACTATTATATTATATATATTGTCTTAATTATAAATTGTAATTATTTCAAGCGTTATTTTAAGGGCCTATTAGAAGTTATTTTATGTTATATAGACACCTATTTGAAGGTCTTTAAGTTCATTTCGGGATTTGTTTTGTATTATTTCAATGAAAGCTTAGTTAAGTTCATTAAAAAATTGATTTTTATTTATCAAAATTTATGAAAGGAATTAAAAATTAAAACTTTTGAAATCTCTATCTTTAATATACTTTAACTTATTTTAAATCTTAATTCTTAAGTGGTGCTATTATCTTAACCCGCACTGTCTTTGGTTGGGGAACATTAACATCCATATCAATAGGCAAATTAGCGTTTATCAGAACAACAACGACATTAGCTGCAACAATGCGTGTCGTGGTTTTGTTTACAAAAATCGTCTTCAAAAGAGAGCGCCGGCTGGCGGCCCCCACGGTCACTGCGAGAGAGTTACTGAGGTTGTGGAGCACTCTCTCGCTCCCCCCAAGAGAGAAGTAGCTGCCGTTGGGGCCGGAGGTGGAGAACGAACGAACGAAGCCCAAAGAAATCATAGGCGCGCATTCGCACGTCGAGTTTCAGTGCTAATTTTAACGGCGCCGCGTTGACTGTTTTCTCGCCTTATTGCGGTTATTTTCCTTATTTTCCTCCACTTGCTTGCTACCGAGCACTGAATTCAATTTAAATTAGTTTACACTGTGCCTTTTGTATGTGATAACAACAAACAAACCAAAAAGAGTGAAGTGCCATCGCCCAGGGACTGAGATTTTAACCGTTACCAGAAGGGATATAGCAGTAGGGATCTTCAAATCCCCCAAAGAATACAAATAATAACCCCATCACACGAAATATATAAAAATAAACCTATGCATGGGGAATATTATGATATATCCAAAGACGATCAATTAAAATAGAATTCGTGTGTGATTGCTATCAGCGGATATAGTCCGAGAGTTCCTGTTTTTGGTTGGGACTTTAAATCTGAAAAAAACCACTGGTAAGTTAGAGACTTTGATTAACTAAAACTTCATATTAATATGCGAACTTGTGGTTTCCATTCGAATGCCGTGGATATGGCAAGACAGCTGTTTCAATACCGTTCCAAAGTGCCCCGAAAATAATGCTTAAAATTGTTGAAACCCGTGCTGGATTGTCGATACTTACGTCAACCTATTGGAGAGGGTGTTTGTTTAACTATTTCGTTAGTATAACTACACAGAAAACAATTTATTAAAGTTTACAAATTCAAAATTCATGCTATAAATACAAGCAAATAAAATAAACCTTAAATCAATCCAAATCATATTATTCATTTTTTAGGCCATAAAATCCATCTAAAAATATTTCTGTTTATATGTGGTATAACCCCCCATATTACCCCTCGATCTACGGACCTTACTTGTTGACGTTCTTGGCGGTTTTTGAGGTTAACAGCATTTTGAGGCGGCTTTGTTTCGCTTCGGAGTCCGGACCCAACAATAACAATACCAACTATTGACTGCCGACTGGCACTGGTACTGGTACTGGCCATGTTTAGACGCTGGCACGTCTAAACTCACTCGAACTCGGCTTAGAAACAATTAATAGCTACTATTTTGTCACTTGCTTCTTGACTTTTATGCCAAAATATTTGCCTAAGCTGTTCGCATTAGCGAATCGAACAAATTGCTGAAAAAACAACATACTATAGCACGCGCATTTATCTTGATTTCGATTCCATGTGACTGTATCATTATTTGTGGACTTATAATTTGTTTTCCGATCAAAAGTCGATTCTCTCTCAGTGGGTCCTGTGTAGTTGATTTATTTTGTTTTTTAGTACAGTGGAATCTGGATAGATTATTGTGAGGATACTTTGCTTTATCATATACTGAAATTTTTGAAAATTATATGTAAAATGTTCTTGAGGGAAATTTTTATTAAAAAACTCAATGAATTACAACTTTAATATATTTACTTATTCTGTATATGGTTATGGGGTATTGAAGAAATACCTCTAAACATACATACTTCTAAATACCTACTCCAAAGGGGGGAAACTACCTATAACAACGAAGGTCTTAAACATGGTTTGACTTGAAGCTAAATATATTTTTTAGATTTATTTTTTAAATAAATAGTTATGCAATTTTGTAATAAATATACCTAAAAAAAAAGGGTTTTAGATAACCGCGTTTTAAACCATTTCATTTAATATTCTTGGAAGTCTGTTCATTTTTTTCAAATTTTTAGAATATTTTCAATTAGAGCTCGCTCTATACTTTGATTTCTTTTACAAATAAATATAAAATTCTTTATTTCTGAAAAATGTCATACATTATTATTCAAAGACTTTCTGTTTGTTGACTGTTTTGGTCAATTTATTGTTAAAGACGATTTTAAAGCCACTTCATTGATAATTATTATTATCTTCTTATTATTACTTCATTATAAGTCTTTGCTCTTTTCAAATAATATTTAGATGGATTTCATTTGGAGATCTATACTTTCGATTTAATTTGAGGATCTTAAAATACCTCGTCTCTTTATACCCTTGCAGAGGGTATTATAATTTTGTCCAAAAGTGTGCAACGCAGTGAAGGAGACATCTCCGACCCTATAAAGTATATATATTCTTGATCAGGATCACCTCCTGAGTTGATATGAGCATGTCCGTCTGTCCGTCTGTCCGTCTGTCTGTCTGTCCGTCTGTCTGTTTCTACGCAAACTAGTCTCTCAGTTTTAAAGCTATCGTCTTGAAACTTTGCACACACCCTTCTTTCCTTTGCACGCAGTATATAAGTCGGAACGGCCCGGATCGGCCGACTATATCCTATAGCTGCCATATAACTGATTGATCGGAAATGGTATAACTTTGGTATTTTTAGAGTTAGAGAGTTTAAATTTTAGGTGAGAGCTATTTTTGGCAAAATAATACGACATGCCAAATTTCAAAAGGATCGGCCGACTATATCCTATAGCTGTCATATAACTGAACGATCGGAAATGACCCAACTTTCGTGTTTTTGAAGATAGAAAGCTGGAATTTAGTACAGACTCTATTTTTGGTCAGTTGATCCAACCTACCAAATTTCATTAGGATCGGCCGACTATATCCTATAGCTGCCATATAACTGAACGATCGGAAATGGTATTTGGTAGAAATATCAACTTTCGTATTTTTGAAGATAGAAGCTTGGGACTTTTTTTAGATTTTGTATTGTAATAAATTGGAGTATATATTCCTATTCCCATAAGGATCGGCCAACTATATCCGATGTTTGCGATATATATCCGGTTTTAACTGCAAGGGTATATAAACTTCGGCTCCGCCCGAAGTTAGCTTTGCTTTCTTGTTTTGATTTATTTTATTAAATATTTCTAAAACGAAGTTAGATTTCAGATTATTTATCATTGAAAGTCTTTGCATTTTTTTCAATAATATTTCGAAAAATTTCATTTAAAAGTCTATACTTTCGATTTATTTTAAAATAAGATCTAAAGATACCTTTTTCCTGAAAAACATCACAAAACTATTATTTCGATACTTCCCTTCTAGATTTTATTTATAATGTTTTTCTTAGAAGATCCATATTTTCGATTTATTTTGAAATAAGATCATAATACTTCATGTTTCTGAAAAATATCATAAATATTTATTTAAAGGCTTTGCTTTTTTCTGAATGATATTTAGACGATTTTCTTTGGATCTTAATATTTTCGATTTATTTTTGGAAAATATACCATCGCCTTTTTTTAAGATTCTAGAATCTACATCATAATCTATATTTTGTATAATTTGCCTTCACCCATCATCCACTGTTTTTGTCAATAGGAGCACTGTGTTTGTCAAATGCTAATTAGTTTCATTATATCTGACAGTCACGAGTGGAGTGGGGCTGGATTGGGGATTTGGGGCTGGGGATATGGGTAATAGGGCCGTGAAGTGTATTAATTGGATGAGTTGCAACAGTTTGATAAGCACAATATTGGTCGCGTTGATCAACTTGGACATATGGCCGTAATCACGTCCACGTCGTTTGTCAAAACAATTGTTTATCTTGAGTGGCCACGCCCCGGTCGACTTGCCCACCGCCCCCAAAAAGCTAAAAACAAAAACAAACAAGAAAGGAAAGCTAACTTCGGGCGGAGCCGAAGTTTATATACCCTTGCAGTTAAAACCGGATATATATCGCAAACATCGGATATAGTTGGCCGATCCTTATGGGAATAGGAATATATAATCCAATTTATTTCAATACAAAATCTAAAAAAAGTCCCAAACTTCTATCTTCAAAAATACGAAAGTTGATATTTCTACCAAATACCATTTCCGATCGTTCAGTTATATGGCAGCTATGGGATATAGTCGGCCGATCCTAATGAAATTTGGTAGGTTGGATCAACTGGCCAAAAATATAATCTGTATTCAGTTTTAGCTTTCTATCTTCAAAAACACGAAAGTTGGGTCATTTCCGATCGTTCAGTTATATGGCAGCTATAGGATATAGTCGGCCGATCCTTATGAAATTTGGCATGACGTAATGTTTTGCCAAAAATAGCTCGCATGTCAAATTTGAACTCTCTAACTCTAAAAACACCAAAGTTATACCATTTCCGATCAATCAGTTATATGGCAGCTATAGGATATAGTCGGCCGATCCGGGCCGTTCCGACTTATATACTGCGTGTGTGGAACGAAGGGTGTGTGCAAAGTTTCAAGACGATAGCTTTAAAACTGAGAGACTAGTTCGCGTAGAAACAGACAGACAGACGGACAGACGGACAGACGGACAGACGGACATGCTCATATCAACTCAGGAGGTGATCCTGATCAAGAATATATATACTTTATAGGGTCGGAGATGTATCCTTCACTGCGTTGCACACTTTTGACCAAAATTATAATACCCTCTGCAAGGGTATAAAAACACAGCTGTCCTGCAAACCGCCAATGGCTGTCGAACTGTCAGCGCAGGCAGTAGTACTCAGAGCCACATTGATGGACATATTATAGACAGTTTGGCAAACGAGAGCGTATGAAATGCTAAATATAAACAATGCTGGCAGTGCCGCCCCACCTCTTGTAACCTCATGCCCCTTTCCGCCCCTCCCCCCGGCGTCGGGCATTAAAGGAAAATTAAGCAAACCAGACGAGAAGGGTTGACAGATCCAAAAATAATTATAGCCCGGAAAGATTTGGCAGGCACCTGGCGTCTACCTGGTTTTTATTTTAAAGGGGCGGTGTGGCGACCAAGTCTCGTGTCACACGTGTGCCTGTATCTTCCAAACTGTAGTCCCCCGTATTTATAGACTCTTTGGGGCTCTTCCTTGGGGAACTGCTTCCGTCTAATTAACCTGGTGGAGAGCCTTAACTCTTACTGCCCTACTGTTTCAGATTGTTTATACCTCTGTATTTTATCCTTCCTTTGTTAAAAATCAATGCTAAATTATACATCAGAAGCGAAAAAATGGTTTATTTGTCTAATTTTAAACATATACTCGCACTTCCGCCGCCTGTCTTTGTCATTTCCCGAATAACAAAAGCTCGAAATGATTATTTTCTTGAAAAATTCGCTATTTGTTTGTTATTGTTTTGTTGTTGTTGTTGGTGTAATTCGGGGGAAATGAAAAGCTGGCTGGCGCTTGTCTCTGCACTCATTCACATGCCACAGACTTTTAATAGACATTTCATTCCATTTGTTTATTTTGATTTTCAAGTGTTCTGGCGGTTTATTTTTGAGCTGCAATGACACATATGAGGGCACAGACAGGTGTACCAAACCAATTCGCCTTAGCCAATATCCACTGTCTTCAAGAAATGGCAATATTTTAAAACGCGATTGGCTGGCTGGGCTCACGTTTCTAGGGGTACGCGAGACATTGAAGACGCAGCCCATTAATTGGATTACAATTCTCCGCATTCTCCATTTATTGTTGCCGCTGTTGATTTGTTGTTCTGCACGTTGCTTTCTTCTTCTTTATGAACATTAGTCATACAAATATACTATATATATGTATGTACATATGTGTCTTGGCTCCTCAACTTGTTGCGTACGCCCTGTTTTGCATATGCCACACCACTGTCGCACCGCCACCACCACCCCCTGGTAGCCCTCCTTTAATGGACGTGGGGGAATTTCGCCTTCATAATGTAACTGTATATCCGTATTGCGAAAATGTGTGAAATGAATCGCACACACACACACACACACCTCCAAAAGAAACACATGACATGTGCACTACAGATCCGGTCAAAATACTAGCAGTGCCATTATCAGAACGCGTTCCAAAGTTTTCCACTTTATTCAAAATATAATAAAAAAAATAATAAAAATATATTTATTGAAAATCAATCACACCTTTCGACAAAACAAACAATCCCATTATTGTTTTCCAATCTTCAGGTCATTGACTAGAAAACCAAAAGTTTGGGAAGGATTTCCTTATAAGGTTATGAAAATAAATGGTATAACTTTCCCTGTTTTATTCGGTCTATAACTAACGACCTTGAAGTCTATAATAGAGAACTGCCAAGGCTGCTAATTCCAACACAATTGTCTTGTTGTCCACATGTTTATAAAATTACACTTTAATTTGTTTTTTGTCTTCATGCACTGCTGAAAAATTTCCACTCTGACGTTCTCGCGGGGGCCTTCTCCGGTTTAAATCCAAATATTTGATTTGGAGATTAGCGAAATGGATTTTTGTGTAATTGTTAATTGGAACGCCAGCCCCAATCGTTGCCTTCAACTGTTCTATCGGTATGAAAATATATATATATACATTTAAAAATTTAAATAAATCGAAATCTACAACTGATGGAGAAAAATAAATTTAATGAAGCCAAAACGCAGAAGAGCCAACAAGAAGATGCCAAGAAACAGCAGACACACCTCTTGGCTAGCCAAAAAAGTAAAAAAAAAAAAAAGCTTAAATTTATTAAACACGCAGGCGGCGGAATTTAATTCAATCCGAGAGCAGATGTTTTGTTCTCGTTCGCAGTCTTGATTTCTAAGGTAAACAAACGACAAGAGACTCGAATTTGCTCGAGTCATTTGGGAGCTAGAGAGCGGCCAAGATCGAAATATATATACTGCTATATAGGGGTATATACCTAGCCAAAGAGAGGGGTGTGTGCGACAGGTGTTAATTGGCGGACAAATTCAAAAACACGCAGTTCGCTCATGGATAGGACGAATCATATTATACGATGTAGGCAAATATGCATTATACAATCTGTGTGTGCAGCTGAACCACAGGCCACTCGCTAATAGATTCGATCATTTCATTTTTCTTACAGTTTTTCGCCCACTGGTCCCCGCATCACCTACGGACGCAATGGGACGCTGGGGCCGGCAGAGTCCGGTGCTGGAGCCGCCGGATCCACAACTTGCCTCCCAGGTGCCGCCCGCCCTTCCGCCACGCACCTTCATGCGACAGTCCAGCATTACCAAGATTGGCAACATGCTCAATACCGCCATCAACATCAATGGAGCCAAAAAGCCACAAAGTAAGTTTTATTAAAAAATAGGGTTATTTTGATTCCTTTTTCAGCCAACTCTAAAAAGAAAGAAAGTTTTAGTTCTATAAAGTGATATAATAGTCGTTATTACTACTTCTGCCTTGTAAAATCATAAGAATTCCTTTAAAATAAAAACCCTCGCTTTTTTTTGAATTTCCGCCATTATTATTTATTAGAGATGGCACATATTTAGAGATGAAATAATCGGTGACGTAGTCACTATCCAACACTGTTTTTTGCACAACCAACACTGGAAACATGCAACGCCGTTCTTCGCCGCAAATTAGTAGCCTGAAACTCTCATTGTAAAGTGCGAAATTTGCAACAAAATTTTTACTTCCATTTTGCGTTGGATTTATTGCAATCCGTTAGTCACTAAATAAGTTAAAACGGCGATTAGAGCGTGGAGATTGCGAGGTCGCATCATTGTACATAGTCCCAAAGTGCGTGTAGTGTAAAATACGAAAGTTAATGCCGCTTGTGCGAAATTGAAAGCAAACGCAGAAGCAAAACCAAAAGCCACACTCATTACGACGCAACGACGAAGCACTGCAGCAAAAGAGGCGGCAAAAACGGGAAGAAGAAGCAGCGGGGCAGCATTAGCAGCAAAGAATCGGAACAAAAAAAAAAGACTCGCGTCAAGCTTTTTTTTTGCTGAAAATCGTGCAGCTTAAAAATATCAAAATATATAGCCCGACGCCAAAGCGGAGTGCATCGGAATCGAAATATATTGATTGTTTATTGAAACTTGAAGCAAGCGAGTCGAGTCACGCGGTTTTTTTTACATTTCGTACGCTTTTAAATGCGAATTTTGGAGCTGCAACGGCAGCTGTGGGAAAATGTGTTAAAACGGAAAACACGGCGCAAAAAATAAAGAACTTAAATCAAAATATATGTGTGCACGTTTTGAAGGTTAGATTTGGCAAGGCGAGAGCAGAATTCGCGATAAAACAAAGGCACAAAAGTGACTACAGCGAGCGTTGTGCGTGTGTGTGTGTGTGTTGGTGTGGGTGTATTAGTGTATTGTGTTTGTTTTGGCAAATGCAATAAATAATAATTAATGTGGATTACCTGGTAAATATATTCCGTGTCATTATCGGTGTGAAGTAATTTTTCTCTCACAACCACCGGCTGCACTCTCTCGCAAAAAAAAAAAAAAGAAACGCACGCCAAAACTGCTCCCTCTGCCTCTGTCGCTGCCTCTGCCCACGTCGCTGCTTATGCTGTTAAAAAGAAAAAAAAAAGAAAATAAGAAAATATTTCCCCTACTTTGCAGTTTCTTCCCCACATGTCGTTTCTACGTGCTTAAGTTGTGTGCTAAACCAAAACAGGGAGAGAATCAAATAATATCCATAATTTTATAAACCAAAGTCTAATTAAAAGGATAAATATAAAAGAAAATACAAAGAAAAGAAATATCCTCAAAATCCGCGCCAACAACAAAAACCAACTCACACACACACACATACAGAACCCCCGAAAGAAAGGGAAAGAAACGGAGCAGAGCGCGAGCGCAGCTCCTTGGCCTTTCTTTTGTTCTTGTTTTGTTGTTGTAGCTTGGCTTAATTGTTTGTTGTTGTTGTTGCCGTCGCTGCCGCTGCTAAAATCGACGCAAACTGTTCAACTGTCATGGCCGGTAAGTTCAATTCTCTCTCCCTCGCTCTCTCTCTTGTCTTCTCTTCGCCTCCTTATTTTTGATTTCCTTTTTGCTCGTTCGTCGTTGCTTTCATGCACACAGAGAGAAACTAGGGGGGGAGTATATATATATTTAAATTAAATTCGACAAATGGCCGATAAACAAATGCCGTGAGAAGTAAACAATCCAAAAGGCTGCCAACGCAATGCAGCCGCTGCGAAAAACAACTTTTCCCTATCAACTAGCATTGATCTTTGCACTTGAAAGCCACCGGCGACGTGAGCTGCCCCCTAATACCCCCCATCCCCCTCTGTTTTTGTTTTTGGAAAAATTACTAGAGGAAGGTGAAAGAGTCTATAAACCTAGATCACGATTTGTTTGGAAAACAGTAAACTGCCGATAAGCGGAATCTAAGCAAACCCTATGTATACTATATATAGAGTATATATAGTACCTATAGTGCAGACTCTACAGACTACAATTGCCATAATTAAATAATAAACAATTAGAAAAGCACCGAGCGGCGATGCGGTGTGCCAATTGGTCCAGTCAATAGATACAGATACATATATAGATATATCTACAGATCGTGTTATTGCAAATTGAGTTAAATCGCACTGAACTCAAAGGAAACTAAGGCCAAGTACTGCATATACTCTTCTTTTTTTTTTATTTCCATACCATCCACCTCTCAGACTCAGACAACGTGACGTCGCCTCCGGAGTCGTCCGGTCCATGGGGTTAGTATGCAAAATGATTCGCCTCCCAAATGATTGGGAATGCAGTCAGTGTCCGTGCTGTCTGACGAGTTTCTTAAAAATCAAATAAAAGAAAAAGTACAAAAAGTATCTGCAAGATGTGCGCAACTGAACATGGACATCGGCTAATGGGGGTGCTGGGGTGGGGAACTCGACAAGCTCTTGTTGCTAATCGGGGGCTACATGTGTACGTTTTGGAGTTACTTGTCTTGTAAGATTCACTTTTTGTTGGGAGGTTCTAAAGGATGGCAGGATTAAAGGATGGCGGGAAGGATGTAAGGGTTAAGAGCTACCAACTCCAATAAGTGTAACTTTCAAACTGATTTTATTTCAAACTATTTTATTTCTCTTACAAGAAACAAGAAACATAGAAATCCTAAATTTATTCAAAACTAATTTACTAAAACTAACAACACGAGGCTCTTTAGAGTGTCATTAGATTCAAGGGATCGGGATCGGTCAGGCATGTACTATATTCTTTATTATTTCTTTCCGTGGTTCCGATAGTTTAAAAATCTATCTTTTACCTTAAAATTATATTCATATCTTATTCAAAATGATAGAACTTTCTGAAAAGTCACACTTAAAGTATTATTTTGTGTGTAATGCATGTTCTTTCTTTAATAATAAAAGAAATCGTTTTTGTCGGTTTGTAAGATTTAAAATAAAAAAAGTTGATTGATTCTTTAAAGAAAAATAAATAAATGTAGGTAATAAACGAGGGATTTAAAAAATAGCCTATTTGACAAAACGGCCTAACTTTGAAATTAAAAATTGTATGTTTTTGCAATTTTTTTTATTAAATTGTAAAAAAACACAATAAAATTTTTTTGAAAATTATTTTCTTTGTTCCTTACCTGGGAAATATATCGCACAAAATTGTTTAAAAATTTTATACCGATGAATAAACATTCATTTTCGAGAAATCGAGAATACCGCCTGCAGAATCACTGTTTTAAGAAAAAGTTACAGCGTTTCTTTGTGGCACTATGACAGGGAGCACCCAAATTAATGTATAGCTCCAGATTCAGTTCAAATTTTGAGAGGACATGCACAAATATATGTGGATTATAATAAAATACAAAAATTGTTTTGATTAACCCCTTAAATTTAGATAATTTAGGTAATATAACCCCTTAACATTTGTAATGAGTATGTAGTTTATAATAAAATAGCTTAGATTAAGATTATATTTTTTTGAAATATAGAAATATATTCTAGATAGATAGAAATTGATTAAAAAGGCGTATGAGGTCGTATAAGGCCCCAGCTATTATTTCACTTGTCAATCCAGTGATGGGGCACAGTATGTCTCACAATTCCCTTCAAGAAAGAAGCCCCACACAGCTGAGACACTGCCACTAAGCCCCTGGAATAATCAATCACAATATGCCCACAAAGTAGTGATACTCAGGGCATGTTTATCTTTTCGAATGTTATTTGTTATTATTTGATATCAAAATACGAATCTATAAGCGTATTTGAGGCAATTTCTCTAATTGCTCACCGATTCGGTCATGGATATGAATTATTTCTCTCCACTGTTCTCTAGTCTCTGACTAAAGTTATCCAACTTGGCAGCCAAATAAAGGATTTTCCAAGAGAGCCCACCCAACCCTTGCATACCTTTCTGTAGGTCGTTCGTTTGGGGGTACCTCTAACCTCCATCCTCTATCCTCTAGTCGTGGAGGAGATAGTTTAGTTTGGGCAAAAGCTAGGGCTCTAGTGGCGACATCGCGTGGTTGTGTTAAATAATTGTGTCAATATTTGAGTTTCATTATTTTGTTCCATTTTGCGGCCGCTCATGAAAATCTACTTATCTTCTCCCCATGTACAGGCTTATATACGTGCTGGTCTCTAGAAAATAAATAGCTTTTTATTGGGCTGCTTTTTGAGAAATTATCTTACTATCAGAGATGTCTTGTAGCTTGGCAGACTCACTGAATATATCTCCCTAAAATGTCTCACTTGTTTTGTTCAAATTTTATTCACAAAACTACAATACCAGGTAGGGACTTCACTTTTGTTTTCATTCTGGCCAGAGTGCAATGACTTCCAAACTGTAAATGGCTGTGTGCGGGGGGTGGTGCGGGTGTATAATAATTCTCTAAAAATAGTGCCAAGACTAATTAGGCGATGGCTTTTGATCCGATTATGGGCGGAGGAGAAATCACAACCTCATGACGTCGCCAATGACAGACACAGCCAACGAATAATGAGGTCACAGCTCATGGGACTGGGCTGGGCAAGGGCTCTGCTCCGCTCTGCTCTGAGCTCTGCTGTGCTTTGCCAAAGAAATCAAACAAACAGAAACGAATGAATATTTGGAAATGATGGAAAAATGGCCAAAAAATGGCACACAACCTCAAAGACAGTACTATTGGCTTGGTAGGCATGGTGCTAAATTATTTGAAATACATTTTAAATAAAAAATTAAATAATACTTTAAGTTTTTGTCTAAAAATCTAACAAGTTTGTCTTTAAAATCAAACCAAAAGCAAATATTCCCACCCATGTGGGCAGGTCTGAGACGTCATCGTTTACACAACGAACCGCAATCGCGGAAAGTGGCTGGCAGAGAGCAGAATAGCTGGAGAGAGAGGGGGCGGTGGGGTAATAGAAAGCGGAAAGAATATTTGGCCAAGAGCTTAAAGGGCTTTAAAGTCAGACTGCCACCACACATAGCCATAGCCAGTAGTCAGTAGTAGGAAGGCCAAGAATGGCGTCATTAGCAAATATTTGGGCAGGCCCAGGACAACGGCATCCCCATATTGATTGTGTGACTGTATCTGTGAGTGGCTGTATGAGTCAAATGTTACATTGCCTGAATCCTGAAATGGCATTCATCGAGACGGAGTCGAGCCGTTCAAAAGTGTCACATCGCATACTCATCATTTGGTCTTCGTGCTCTCCCTTTGCAGGTAATGGAGAGGCGTCCTGGTGCTTCTCACAGATTAAAGGCGCCCTAGACGATGATGTCACGGATGCGGACATCATATCCTGCGTGGAATTCAATCACGATGGCGAACTCCTGGCCACTGGCGACAAGGGCGGTCGCGTCGTCATCTTCCAGGTGAGTTTCTACAATTATTCTAATTATACATATTATATAATATAATGTATTTCAGCGTGATCCTGCCTCGAAAGCCGCTAATCCGAGACGCGGCGAATACAATGTCTACTCGACATTCCAGTCGCACGAGCCCGAGTTCGATTACCTCAAGTCGTTGGAGATCGAGGAGAAAATCAACAAGATCCGGTGGCTGCAACAAAAGAATCCCGTTCACTTTCTGCTCTCGACCAACGACAAGACGGTCAAGTTGTGGAAGGTGAGTGAGCGCGACAAGTCGTTCGAGGGCTACAACACGAAGGAGGAGAACGGACTGATCAGGGATCCCCAGAACGTGACCGCCCTGCGTGTGCCCTCCGTCAAGCAGATACCGCTGCTGGTGGAGGCCTCGCCCCGGCGCACCTTCGCCAATGCACACACCTATCACATCAATTCAATTAGCGTCAACTCCGATCAGGAGACGTTCTTGTCGGCCGACGATCTGCGCATCAACCTCTGGCACCTGGAGGTGGTCAACCAGAGCTACAACATCGTCGACATCAAGCCGACGAACATGGAGGAGCTAACCGAGGTGATCACGGCGGCCGAATTCCATCCGACCGAGTGCAATGTGTTCGTCTACTCGAGCTCCAAGGGCACAATACGCTTATGTGATATGCGATCGGCGGCGCTATGCGACCGGCACAGCAAACAGTTCGAGGAGCCAGAGAATCCAACGAATCGCAGCTTCTTCAGCGAGATAATCAGCTCCATCAGCGATGTCAAGCTGAGCAACTCGGGTCGCTACATGATCTCCAGGGACTACTTGAGCATCAAGGTCTGGGATCTACACATGGAAACGAAGCCCATTGAGACTTATCCTGTAAGTACTTACTATTCCAGATAGATAATCCTGATGGCTAACTATTCATCCTTTTTAGGTGCATGAATACCTGCGCGCCAAGCTGTGCTCGCTGTATGAGAACGACTGCATCTTCGACAAGTTCGAGTGCTGTTGGAACGGCAAGGACAGCTCGATAATGACCGGTAGCTACAACAACTTTTTCCGGGTGTTTGACCGCAACTCGAAAAAGGATGTGACGCTAGAGGCGTCGAGGGACATCATCAAGCCGAAGACGGTGCTGAAGCCACGAAAAGTTTGCACTGGCGGCAAACGGAAGAAGGACGAGATCAGCGTGGACTGTCTCGACTTCAACAAGAAGATCCTGCACACCGCCTGGCATCCCGAGGAGAACATCATCGCCGTGGCTGCGACCAACAACCTATTCATATTTCAGGATAAATTTTAGCCAACACTCTCCAACAAACAATACACAGTTACAGTAACACCAACCAACACAAGAAACACGCCCCACTTCAAGGTCAACTCAATCGGTTGGTTTTCTAAACAGAAGCCTTTTCAATCTTCACTTGCAATTCGATTGTTTGCCTAACACATCATTACCTCAGTGCCCCTACACCCCCTGATCCGTTGTCCTTCAAACTACTCCCTCCCTTCCCTAAGAAAAAACCAAATGCGACAACACCACAAACACACACCTACATCATACATAATGCCATAGCAAAAGCTTTGTAATGTATTTTTGCAAGAGAAACTGAAACACTTACAAGAGAATTGAGAAGAAGAAAGGATAAAGATTTTTATACATAACATTTATGAATAGAGAAGCGTAAAGTTTATTTTCTTGTAGCGCAATTCAAAAACCACACTAAGAGTAATATATATAATTGATTTTCCCATTTTCCCAAACAACATTTTTTGTATAATTTGCGCCAGCGCGGAAGTATTTGTAATAAAAGATAATAATATACCATTTAAAACGAATCGAAACATCAAATGCATATTATAATGATTTCCGGCTTGCTTGTTAAGTTGTTGAAAAATCGAGAAAGAATCGATGTGCGCCCTGTTTGCTCTTTTCTACAAAACATAGAATATAAATATATACACACATGAAGATTTCCGTTTGTTTGGGGGCGTTGGCGACAATGTTCATTCCATGCAATTAGACACGATGGGTCCTAAGGCCCGTCGATCCGACTATGTCTCACCTTAAATCTCATCAACGTCAGCGCCAGCTAAACGAACCGGAAGTCGTCTCAGTCATTTTGCGGCTCTAGAGAAGCAAACCACTTCAAAATGCTCATTTAAAATCTTTAATTCACTAAGAATCCAATGGCAGCCCAGAAACCAGAAATCAAAGAGGAGGCACACGTGGATGCATTAAAAACATTATGTATTGCAGTTAAAATAAAAAATGAGAGGAGGATATACATAAATAAACATAAAAAGCCTAAGTTTAAAATTAAACATTAGTGTTCTCAATTCGTTTAATTTAATCTAAAATGAGTAAAAACAAAAGAAAAAAAAATTAAAAATAAAAGAAGAAACATCATAAAGAAAACACTATTTTTATACGCTAAATTTTAAGCTAAGTATTGCTACTTTTAGTTCAACTATGCGTGCGTGCGTCCAAGACCAATTCTCACATATAGTCTGCCCAGCCCGGCAGAGTCCCCTCAGCCCCCTTTTCATCGCCGGTGTCAGCAAAGTTTCCAGCCTGTTTATTGTTTTTGTAAAGTTTATTTTATCCATTGTCATGTTTTCCATAAAGAACTATAAAAACAACTGACCCATTTTTATAGGTTATCTAGTGTCTAGTGTTAACAAAAACAACAAAAACAACCATAAAATATAAACCTAAACATGAAATAAAATTAAAAGTATATAAATAAACGATGCGCTGAAAATGTTAAACGAGAAACTCTTAAAAAATGTATGGCAGCAAGTTCAAAATATTGAAATGTAAACGCATAAAATGAAGAAATAAAAACTAAAAACAAAAAACAAAACATAAATTGTGCTTCTTATGAGAATAATTATAAATGTATTTAAAAACCATATTGTATTTTCAATGAAATAGATATACGGAAACAGGAAAAGGCAACATGAATCGCAAATATATTTAAAGTGAGGGATACAAAGAATGAGTATTTTTCATAAATGATAATTTAATCCATGAACTATCCCTAGTTTTGTTGCGAAATTAATATTCTTCAACATTTATTTGCAACGCACATTTTTATTCATAAATCTTTGACATGCCTTTTTGTAAATAAAATCGCAAACAAAACAAATGAGAGAACTAAATCGTAATACATTATTCATAAAATGAAATAAAATCGAAAGCAGTCGAATAGAGGAACTGTTGCAGTTGCAAACGAGAGACAAATTGCAATTGATTAGTTTTTAATAACATTAATTGAATTGCTATTCAAAATAAAGATCAAATAAAAGAAAACTTAAGGATAAAGTTTAGTTTTGAAAGTTTGGGGGAGTTCTTGTGTCTTTTGGGAATAATACAAAAAGAAACTGAAGAAACTTTCAAGAGATGTATCTAACTGGGTTTGACAATAGTGTCTTGATACTGCGTTTTATTTTAAGTGTGCAAATTTTTAAAAAATGTGTATGGTACTAAAAATTATGGGAAATTAAGAGGTAAGAGGTGGTTAAATTACCTTTTAAAAATCTTTTAAAAGTGTCTTAAAAATATTTAGAAAGCTTAAGAAGTTTTCAAGGTATAAATCATTGGAGATTTTTCATTGAATCATCATCTATTTTTGATTTTTTCCATCAGATGTATAACTCTATGTTTCTGGAGGTTAGTGAAATTTTATTTATATAGTAACCTTGCAGCAGAATAGCAGTTACCACATGCTTTTCACCTGGAGGACGTCTTTTTCTATCGTTTTTAAATAATTTATAATATATGTGTGTATAAATCTTCAAGGGATTAGACTTAAAATCTTTAATAAGATTAAATCTTTAATCTAAGGTCTCTAGAAAGAGAAGTAGATATTTTTGTATCTTTATAAAAAAATAGATAAAATATTATATAATATAGACATGTAATATAGAGAATTCTTCAAGGGGTTATTATTAAATCTTAGAAAAAAAGAGTCTCAAGTTAGAACGTATTGAATTCTATCTATAATTTTTTGTATTGAGGGCTATTTATTTTTCAATTATTCCAATATTCTCAAAGTAACAATAAATCTTAATTATTCGGTAATTCCGTTCAAATATACATACTACGTTTATTATTTTTCATATAGTTCTGTATGCTCTTAACATGTAAAAGAGAAAGTAGTTTTGTATCTTTTTAAAATAATATATTATCATATCTGTAGAAATCATCAAAGGATTATACTTAAAATCTTAACTTAAGGAGTACCAACTTAGAGCTCCAACTTCTATAACTTAACATTATAAGTTTATGTTAGTTTTGTCTGCAGGTTTCTGATATTCTGTTAATAATATTTTTTTATATTTTATACAAAGATATGTTATTCTGGATTATTATAATTAAAAGTAAGGATAAATGAAGCTAATAGAGATTCCATAATTTTAGACTTAGTTACATCTAATTGGAAAATAAGTTATATGCCTAGTAACCTTGCAATTTCCATATATGTAGTACTGTATGCTCTTAGCCTGGAGGAGAAGTAGATATTTGTATAATATATTTGTATTTTTAAAATAATAGATAGAGATATCGTTAGAAATCTTCAAGGACCAAATATATTAAATTTTTGAGTTCCAACTTAGAGCTTAGAGCATTCTACAGAGGTCTTCTTCATCGTAAAGTCTTTAGTGTCTGCAGGTTTCTAATATTCTAAATTCCTAATATAGTAACCTCACATTTTCCATATAGTACTGCATGTACCGTTACGCTCTTAACCATGCCAGGCACGCATGCGCAGAGCTGAAAAAAGTACATTTTTTAAGAGGGAGCCAAGCCAAGCTCCAAGCACTCCCCACAGCCGGTCTGGTACTCAATTCGAACGAAATCCACGCAGTAGAGGCGGCTTGAAGTCTCAGTGTGCTCCAAGAGGTTGGACAGTGCGGTTCGTTCGTTTTTGGACTCGGGTTCGGGCGAGATCTTGAGAAAAAGTGAAAAAAAAAACGCCGGAACTGCGGCCCAAACCAGTTTTGGCAAAGTGAACACAACAACAATAGCAGCCAAAACGCATGCAAGTGACGAAACGACCTTAAGCAAGGGAAAGATAAAATTAAAAATAAAATACTTGGCTTAAAAATAATAAAATATCTAAAGGATTGAGAGAGTCGGTGACGCAGCCACTCGTAAAACAAAAAAAAAAAAACCCAAAATGCTGTTGCGTTGCTTGAGGAGTGAATAAGCTTTATAGGAAATCGGAGCCGGAGATACCAGTATCGATCAATTAAACAACAGGGTTTACGTGGCTAGGCAGCGATCTGAGACACAAAAAGGCAGAAATGACATTGAGCAACAAAAGCGGTAGCAACAATGTTCTTTGTCTGCGACTGCAACGGATACTACACCTTTTCCTGATTTTCCTCACCTGCTCCACCCTGCTCCCCTTTGCCTGTAAGTTAAATTAATTTACGTAAATTAATTAAATCGCAAACCTTGCAATAACATAGAAAAAATTGCAAAAGAAAGAGAAATTTTTAATGGCGTTACGCTCGAGACGGGGCGAAAACAAATTCACTTTCGTGTAAAACTAGAGAAACTGGTCTACGGACGGCGTGTTGGCTTACAGTGCCCACCAGGGGTCGCCACCTGGCCCAGTGGCAGTCAATCAGAAGGCGCATTGTTGGCCTATTAGTCAGTCGAAACCCCAAACGAGTTTGTTGTCAGAGTCTTTCGTTTTGTGATTTTGTTTCACCGGCCGCGGCACTCTCATCCGTTCTTGTCTTTCTCTTCTTATCGAACCTGCAGTGGCCGAGGGCGAGGAGGAGGATGGTCCATATCGTGGGCAGTATTTGGGCAAACTCAACTCCTACCATCACCAAGTGTCCGGGGATGTGTACGCCGTCAACGAGTACACCTTCCTGATTGTGGGCTTTAACTATGACGGTAACGGGGCGGACACGTTCTTCTGGTCGGGAGCCAGCAACCGGCCAGGGCCGCAGGGCTTCATTGTCCCGGATGAACATGGCAGGTAAGGATCTGATTTGGCAAATGATGAAAGAAAGTCCATTCAAAAACTGTTCATCACAGAACCAACATCCTGGATCGCTACCACAACAAGGACTTCACCTTAACGCTGCCAGACCGGAAGAAGATAACCGAAATCAAGTGGCTGGCCGTCTACGATCTCAGCAGCCAGAACAACTTTGGGGATGTGTACATTCCCGAGGAGTTTGAGCCGCCCAAGACCCAGGTGGGCGGAACCTTCTCCCGCCGCAGTCACAATGTGAGCAGCAGCAGCATCGAGATCCTGGACTCGAAGACCATTCGGATCAAGGACTTCACCTACGATGGGCTCGGCAAGAGGACCTTCTTCTGGACCGGAGTGGGAGCGCAGCCGTCGAGTCGGGGCAGTAAGCTGCCGGATGAAAGGGGATAGTAAGTCTTAAACATAGCTATTTCATTTAGTTAGTACATGTATCTAATTCCAGCCTGGATCCCATTCGCCAGTACAACAAGGAGACCATTGAGCTGGAGCTGCCGGGTGACAAAACCATCTTCGACATTGACTGGATCAGTGTTTATGATGTGGCGGACAGTGAGAACTATGGCCATGTGCTGATCAACGAGCGCTTGAATGTCCCACCTTCTCTGGTCAAGATTACGCCCTTCGAGTTCTCATTGCCCAACTGCCGGCAGCTGCACAAGGATCTGCAGGTGTCCTGGGAGGTGTTTGGGCCGCAGATCACATTCCAGCTATCCGGACAGGTGGCGGCCAACGATTACATGTCCTTTGGCATATCCGGATCGGATACATCCAGCCAAATGATCGGCTCGGATGTGGTGGTTGCCTATATAGACGAAATCCGAGGCTACACCATCGACTATAATATCACCTCGTTGGCCCCCTGTGTTCAGGTTTTGGGCCAGAACAAGGGTGTTTGCCGGGATGATGTAGTTGGAGGGTTGGACAGCTTCCAGCTGAACACCTACAGCCGCAAGGATGGTATCAACACTATCAGCTTCAGGAGAACCCTAAAGTCATGTGAGTTCTAAGGATATTCTTTTGAAAATATGGGTTAAGGAATTCCTGTTCTGTTTAGCTGACGATGGCGACAAGGAGATCTTCCTGGACCGCAGCAACTATGTCGTGTGGGCCTTTGGCCAATTGGACTCCAACAATGAGCCAGCATTCCACACTCACTATCCCAAAAGTGATATATTAATCGATTTCAATACCACGGAGCCCGTTAACGATTGCTTTGCCTTCACCAAAAGCGTAGAGATGCCTCCACCATTGTGGGAGCGCACCAGGATCACTGATGCGTAAGAAGATTAACACTTCCCAACCAAAGAAGGGTTGACTTATAAATATTTTCATCCTTCCAGAACGGTTCGTACCTTCAACGCCTACTTGGGACCCTCAGGAGGCTTGCGGGGCTATCAAGGACTGACTGGCCATGTCTCCAGTGGCCTGGCCTGGTACATCAATGGCTATATGATACCGGAACTGTACCTTAAGAGGGGTCTGACATACACGTTTAAGGTCAGAGGCGGCAACAATCCCCACTCCCCGGAGCACTATCATCCCCTGGTGATCACCGACGATCCTCAAGGCGGCTACGATCGCTTGTCGGACGCCAAGCAGAGCGAGGTTCGTGTTCTGGCCGGAGTGGAGTTCACCAGGCGGGGAAGACCCAAGCCCACGGCAGCCGGGCCCCTTTGCCTCTCCAGATATCCCCCGAAATACGATCGCCGGTTGGACGACAACTTCGCCACCTTCAAGAAGTTCAATCGGTCGCTGATCACCGAGTGCGTGGACGAGCCCCCTGCCCTGCTGGAAATCACGCCAAACATAACCTGGCCGGATACTGTCTACTACAATTCCTTCACCCACGGGAACATGGGCTGGAAGATCCACATCGTGGACAGTTACAATAACCTGAGGAGTGTGGCATCATCCGCCACATCCCTGTCCTTGTCCATTGTCCTGCTGGCCTTGTGCTCCCTACTCCAGTACTGACTGTTTGCATAGTTAGGTTCTACTCTTAATCACATATTTAGTGTCGTAGTCTATATTAAGCAGTCACAATATATGATGCTCAGATGTGTATATTATTATTAAAGAATGTATTTATTTTAAAAGCAAAATAATACGAGACAAGTTTGATAATAAAAAAGTGATGTTTCAAAAAGGAAATAGTAGTGATTACCCAATTAAAAAACAAGGTTTATTGACAGTAAACTGTAAACTATTCAATTTATTGATTAGATTTGCTTCTTACTCAAAATTCAGTAGATAATTATTCGATTCGGCTTATGCAACATGTGCTAAACGAACTCAATCGATCGTCTCACAGAAACTGTTTTTAAAATACTTGACCAAAAAGAGAGACTATTTGGCTCTGGGGATAGGATGCACTCTGGGGCAGGTCTAAAAAGCCAGGTAATCATAAGAAGTTGGGGGACAAATGCTATCGAATGCTATTCCACCATTATGGAGTAGAGTTCGATTCACAATCAGTTATAGAGTTCGGTTTTAGTGGTTCAACAAGTGTTCAATTAGTTATTCTAGTTGTATGTATATATGCTCATATATATATATATCTGTATATATATTCGTGTATAGTATATAATCAGGCATAATTGTATGTATGTATGTAGATAATGTGTAAACTTTATTGGCGTTACAATGAGTTTCGCAATCTCTCTCGCAATCCCTAGGATAATAATCTAATAATCAAACAGCAGCGCAGAACTATGGTGTTAAGTACACAGTTAACCCTCGCCTTTCGCTTTCGCTTTGTAAGATCTCTAAAATATTCAATTTTTTTCTTCAGATACACTCTCTATATATATAGTTGTTAATATCACGTTCATCGTTTAACCTTCTTGCTTGTTCTGTTCACTTGTTTTTGCTTCATCTCGCTTTTAGTTTTAAACTACGTTAAGCCGAATTAACAATAGATATAGATATCTGTATATATTTATAATCAAGCGAGACAAAGTAATCGCTAGTGAAAATTTTGACACGGCCGAAATATGGAAACAGACACTATCAATTTTGACATTAGACATAGACGCAAAACTCGCTCCCAATGGAGGTTCCACTTCCACCATCCTCTTATCGGTTCACGGTTCGTGGTTTCTAACAAACTGTTCGAGCTGCCTGTGTAGCTGGTTGTGGTAGGGAATCCGGTGCTTACTGATCGTGGTCGCTGCCAAGCACTGCAGCGTCACGAAGTTGAGCAGCGGAATGGTGCTGGTGGGATTGGAGGCTATTAAGTCGTAGGGCCGCTTATCGGCGCGATTCGGCTGATCGATATCCGCTCCGCACTTGAGCAACAGGTGAACAATCTGTAACAACAAATTGGCTTGAAAACACACAATTATTTAAAAAATATTATTAATCACCTCATTGTCATAGTTGTAGGGCTGACAGGCGACATGCAAGGGCGTGGATTTGGCTTCGTTTTTAATGTTGACATCGACGCCGCACTCAATGAGCAGCTTGATGACATCCGCATTCGGGAACACAGTCTTCTAAAAGGCGAGATGTACTCTTTAGAATATCATTAACTCAAGAATTCAAGTCTCACGCACATCAGCAAAGTTGTCATCGGTGATGTAGCCGCTCTTAATGACGTTCAGCCGCGAGGCGCAGAGGTGGAGCAGAGTATCGGCGGTGCTGGCACTGCGCAGGTTGCCAACAACCACAGTCTCATGGATTGCCTGGTAGATGAGCTTGTTTTGGGCTTCCGTGTGGACGGTATTTATCAGCAGGTAGATGAGGTGCGCCAGGCATCTCATAACGCGATCGTAGTTCTCCTGCTGGCGCCGAAAAACTGGACGCAAGAGCAGCAAATGCTTCACAACAATGGCGCTATCCGCCAGAGTTCGAAACACTCCTAGGACGTCTTCGAACCGCGGCAGAACATTGTCCTGATGCACGAACCTGGCCCTGGCATCGCTTCTTATGTGGCTGGAGTTTTGAACGTGCAGATCCAGCATCAAGCGCACCAGTGCCTGGGCCGCAAAGCAAGTCTCGAAGTGCAAAATGGACCAGTTGGACACGCGAACCTCGAGCAGGAAACGCCAAAGATCGATGCAACGCTGCAGCTGCAGTGAGTCCGCATAAGACGCGCCCCTGGAACACAATTTTATGAATGAGATTAGCTCCAAGTAGCATCTAACCACTTCTAAGAACCTACCTAAATGTCAGCCGAAACAGCATATCCTTGTGGGTCAGTCCCAGCACCCGCTCGCAAATGAGTAGACTCTGGGTCCGCATCGCATCCATGTCCGTGGCAATGTTGTCCAGCTCTTCTAGCGTGCTGAACTCCACTGCATTTTCGTAGGCCGTCCGCAGCGGAACTTGAGGGTTCTTCTCAATGTACGGGGTGTACGCGGCCCGGATGTGGTGCGCCATGCGCCAGTGTAGGATGCAAACGCGCGACTCGTTGTGCTCGTCCAGGAACGTCGACCCCATCAGCTCGTGCGCCTCTGCCAACCTGGCCGCCGTGTAGTTGAGCTCCTTCTTCAGGAAGTCGAAGATTTGATGGGCTCCTTTCAGGCAAGCGGTGCGCAGAGCATCGTCTCCATAACGACTCTTTGCATATGGATCGGCGCCCTGCTCAATCAGCATCCTGGTGGTGTCCAGTCGGTGCTCCTGAATCGCATAGTGCAGAGCCGTTTTGTCCTGAATATCGCGGGCATTGATATCCGCTCCCTTGCGCACCAGATACAAACATAGCTGCACCGACTGCACCGAGTTAATCAGGCAGGTGCCACCATTAATGTTCGGCCGCTTGATATCGGCCCCGTTCTCCACAAGAAACTTGACTGAAATACAAATGGGTTTTAAACTTTTGGTGTTTGGAAATTAAATTGTTTAATGGGAAACTTTTAATTGTGAGACTTAAGCAGATGTTGAAGAAAGTTCCTTTGAATGGCAATGGTAGGAAGGGATTGCGTGTTGGAACACCTCAAAACGGCTCGACTAAACACTCACCAATGTCCACATGGGTCATGTAGCAGGCACTCCGCACGGGCGTAGATCCTGAATCCGATGTGGCATTTATGTCGCATCCGATTCGAACCAGGTACTTGACCATCGACAACTTTCCAGAGACAACGGCTGCCCACAGGGGCGTAACATAGTGAAAGCTGTTGTCCTCCGGGACCTCAAAGTGCCCTCTCTGCTCAATATCCGCCTCACATATGGTGATCAAGTACTCGGCTATGACTACGGCTCCTCGCTTGCACGCGATGAACAGGGGGGCGCAACCATTCCGCTGCTTTCGCACCAGCTCCCGACGAGAATCGCGAGTCAGCCTGTGGGTTAAGGTAAAAGTTAAGGTTGAGTGTCGGATTGGAAGATCGGAAATAACCCTGGGCAGCACGTGCAAGTTCAATGATTTCGAGGGTTCCGCTACTGATAAGCGCCCTTAGCATAGAGCCCCCGAGATTAGGGGCTTACTAAAGTAAGTGATAGCCCATTTAACTTCCCAGAGGGAATCGCCTGAATGGGTGGGAGGATGTGACGTACTTTTCCAGCTCGTGGCGAAGGTGGCGCGACAGCAGCGAGTCCTCCTGGCTGCGTTTACACTCCTCAATTAGTTCGTGGCTGAGCTTGGTCAGCTCCACCTTGGGACTGCTCTGCTTGCGTTCGTTTGCCATTCGGGGCAGTTCCAGCTCCAGCTCGAGGTCCTGCTCCTGACGGCTGCCTTCAAGTGAGCGCATTGCCAGTGCACCGTATCATTGCCAATGTCTGGTTGATTGTGACTATGATTCTGCGAGTGGGTGTGAGTGGGGCTGGCTGAATGTGTTTGTTGTTGCTGTTTAGAAAGTTCTCCTGAATGTCCTTGGGCCACTGCCCCTTGTGCGGTGGCAGCCTGCTGCGGCAGTGACCTACTATCTGCCAAATTGGGTTGCCTCTTTCTCTTGCCCAAGGCCGATCCGATTACTTTCTTTTTTGTTGTTATTGGGTTCGCTTTTTCTTTTCTAAATCAATTTTGTGTGCGCCGCAGCGTGCCACTTGGGTGCATAATATTTCGATTTTCGCGGTAAATTCGGAACTATTTGGTAAAACTGAACAACAATACGATGTGTGATAGTGTATTGGTGTCGGTGTGGGTGTGTCCGTTAACATTTAACCATGTTTTTCCGTGTTTTCTGTTTATAAATAAAAGTCAGCAAAACTCTTTAACGTCTAAACAGGGTGTACACAACTTTGGATGACAATAATTGAAACAGCTGCTTTAACAGCAGCGGTAGTGTTGCCATATCTTAGGCTTACTTAACAGAGTTTCGATAACTTTTTATTGTATACATTTCATGTTTTTTTAATTTACTATTTATACATTTATACATTTACTATTTACTATTTTTATTTGTACAATCGTAAATTAAATATATAAAATTTGTTATAATAACACCTTGATAGTGGCCAACCTCTGTAAAATTTTAGAGAGACCGTTTGCGACTGCCCGCGTTATGTGGCAACTCTCAAAGACGCTCTTCAAAAAGCAAGCCAATTTGTATTTATTTCCGCTCAAGCCGAGAAAATAGAAACTCTTTATTTAACTCAAAGAAATGGCCAACGATATTGTAGCGAGTCTTGATAACAATAAGCTGGAGGCCTTCCGAAACCTAAACCTTCTCGAGCAGCATCGCATCGATAGCTTCAAGGATTGGCCATTTCCCGAGCAATCTACGTGCAGCATTTCAAAGGCAAGAACTGATTTTAATCATTTATTTCTCAAATTAACTAAAAACCCATAAAGATGGCCGAAGCTGGGTTTTATTGGACTGGCACGAAGAGGGAGAACGACACAGCCACCTGCTTTGTTTGCGGAAAGACGCTTGATGGCTGGGAATCCGAGGATGACCCGTGGTCGGAGCACCGCAAACACGCTCCACAGTGCGAGTTCGTCAAGATGGGCACGGCCGAAAAGGACTTGTCCGTAAGTTAAATGAATTTGTTTTTAAATAAATACACTACATGTTAAAATGGTATTCTGTTTCCACAGATTTCTCAATTCCTCCTGATCCTGGGCACCGTCGTCAAGGGAAATATTCAGAAAAGCTGCAAGACATTTAAACAAAAGTTTATACGAGACAACGAGGACCGCAAGGAGGAGTTTGTGCATCCGTTGAAATAGCCCGCATATATTTTTATTTGAACAATTACCACTACATAGGTGACTAGAATAATAGTAAACAAAGCAAAATTAATAAAACTGGGTGGCAACGCCAACAAAAACATTCTTTTCTGCCCTGGATGATTATAAATAAACTTATCAAATTGCGCCTTATTTCGCGCAACGGTCAAATCAGTTTAAACCATGTTGAAACGCAAGTTGGAGAAACAGAAAGCGAACCTGGAATGCGAGGAAAGGAAGAGATTGGCCTTGCCAGGTCAAGGTGCAACATCGGAACTGTTTGGTCAACCCCTGTGGCAGCAGTTTTTCAACATCGAGGCAAAGCTCAATGATAGTTTGGATCAAATGATTCACCATCTTCCGCCGAACGTTAATTGCACTTATAATCCATTAGTCTATGCGTCACAGCTGCATTGCGACTATTTGCGTCGTTACTTAGGTGGACCCAAGAAGCTCATCTTTGTGGGAATGAACCCTGGGCCAAATGGAATGTGTCAAACTGGTGTAAGTTTGGATTAATGGTCTTTAATTATAAAGTAGGATGTTCTTGTATCGAACATTCTTTCCTTCAATGCTATTGTAGATACCCTTTGGAAATGTACGCACTGTGAAAGTGTTAATGCAGCTTAATGAAATTGTGGGTAAGCCTCCAATAGAGCATCCCAAACGTCCTGTCTTGGGTTTGGACTGTCCTACGGAGGAGCCGAGCGGCGTTCGCCTCTGGGAGCTGTTTCTGCAACTGGCCGGAAATATGGAAACTTTCTCAAAGCAGTGCTTCGTCCACAACTTCTGCCCTCTGGCATTTTTCGATGAGGCTGGAAAAAATCTGACTCCCAGCGAGCTGAAAGGACCCTATAGAAAGGAAGTGGGAAAATACTGCTTAGAGGCCCTTGATGAGGAACTATTTTTGTTGAAGCCGCTGGTAGTTGTGGCAGTAGGGAACTATGTGCGGGACATTTTAAAAGGTTCTAATTACTGCAAGTCGGCTTCGGTTTCCGTGCTCCTTCTACCTCATCCAAGTCCTCGATCCGTGAACAACACCAACTGGCCTGAGAAGGCAAAGGCTTTTCTGGAGGAGCACAAGCTGTTGCCATTCATGAAAAATGAGGCATAAAGTCATGCAAATCTTAACAATATACATAGTAACTAATAGTTACTATCTGCCTTTTTTAAAGATCACATCTAGCCAACTTCTAAAATGAAAGTACATTTAAGAGACGATGAAAAGTACAAAAATTCAAATATAAAAATTGAGTGAAAAGTCATTCATTATTTTGAATGAATGAATGCATTTTCTTATTCGCCCAAATTGTATATCCCCTTAAATCGGTGTTGGAAAGCGTGTCAACGTTTCAGCTGTTCGCAAGGCTGATAGTGCTGCAAAGCGGCAGAGAAGTGAGAGCTGTGCCGACGTCTTTTGTTTTTGTTGACTGACTTTTCGCCAAGTTCAGAAGATTGTCTTTCCATGCCAAATGGCCGCCTTCATGGAGGAAGCGTTTGTAGAGGCGCGGCGGGCACGTGACGCCGGCGAGGTGCCCGTGGGATGCGTGTTCGTACTCGGGGACAAGGTCATCGCACGTGGCGGAAACGAGGTGAACGTCCACCGGAATGCTACTCGCCACGCCGAGTTCATCTGCATCGACGCCACTCTGGCCTACTGCCGGGAGAAGCGTCTACCGGCCCGTCAAATGTTCAGCGAGATCACGGTAGTGGTCACCGTGGAACCCTGCATAATGTGCTCCGCCGCACTCCACACCCTCGGCGTAAAGGAGATCATCTACGGCTGCGAAAACGACCGCTTCGGTGGCAAGACTGTGGTTGACGTTGCTGCTGTCGTGGGTCAACGCATCGATATCACTGGCGGCGTACGAGCGGACGAGGCGATGGCCCTTCTCAAGGAGTTCTACAAAGGCGACAACCCGGCCGCTCCTCCCCAAGCCAAAAGAAAGAAGTAAACGGTCGTCCAGGAGCAGGACCATCAACTAATTCAAAATAGGGAAAGGAAATGAATGGGAACGCTTAACTTAATAGTCCACGCCAGGAAGGTGTCAAGATTCAGCAGCAGCTGGTGATTTTTGTATATGTTTCAATTTATTATAAACTCTAAGCGTAGTTTAAGGTATAATATAATATATATATGTATGGCGTTCAGAACGTATGTTTAAACTATAAACATAAATACAATTACTGCATGAAAGCTACAACATTTACGTGTGTGTAGTTAAGGCTGTGCCTGTTCCACTGTCGGAAAACTACCCAAAACTATATTGTTTCCTTTCAAGTTCGCTTTCAGTCCAACACCAGTATTCGATTTAACCCTCCAGCACTAGAAGTCAATCTCTAGACTTTGTTAATTGTTTTTGTTCGTTAATCTTAAAATATTAAATCTGATGCAAGATAATCATTTAAATTGGTATTCGCTAAGACTGCAAATGTTGAGGGTTAAACACAGACCTAAGATACTTTAATTTCCCTATGTTCTAAGCTAAATCTTCAATTCGATCGTTTGCTGCGCCAGCTGTGGCACTCGGATACGATTGTCTTAATAATCTGGCTTGAGCGGCTAGCGGAGCAAACAAACAATGGCTTGTTACTTAGTATTTATATTAATCCTAATTAAATGCGCAGGTTGCGGCGTCTATGGCCAATGTTGAGCCACTCCAACGGCACGTTGCCTCCCACGTTGTAGGTGGTTGGAGTGCAGTTGAGCAGCTTCCGGGCTGGCTCGCAGCGACGGCTCACGTTCCAGTAGGCGAATCCTTGTGGGCAGCGGTGGATCTGACCCTCGATGCGTCCTGTCTGCTCGGAGTAGCCACACTTCACGAATAGCTGTCCGCACTCGTCTTCGTTCAGGGCGAAGTGACCCTCATCCGGGCAAAGGGGCGCGGTGGAGCTAATTTGTACCTAAAGGAAAGATGTATTAAATCAGTTGCTGAAGAATGTCTAACACCAAAACAACTTACCACATTCTGGAGCTTTGGTTCCTGTTCAAACAGACTAGTGGTCCTCTTCATATCCTTGTTGCATTTGTCATCAGCCTGGGGCTTTCCGCACCTGCAGGTCTTGTCCTGGTAGACAGTTCCGTTGGGGCACTGGAAGACAACGATGTTCAGGTCGTTGCTATCCGAGCTCTCGCTGCACTGGTAAAACATGCCGCATTTCTCGGGATGCTTTCGGAATCCGGTGGGGCAGACGAACACATTCTGTCCAGGACTGGTGGGTGGACAGGGTGCAGTGGTGTTGGTGTCGGGATTTGTTGGTTGAGGACTCTCAGTGGTTGTTGTTTCACTAGTAGGTTGATTTGTCGTAGTTTCGGGTCCATTTGTGGTTGTGGTCTCTGGCTTGGGAGCTTTCGTAGTGGTTTCAGTTGTGCCACCGGTGGTTGTCTCAGGAGTGGCAGTGGTAGTGGTCTCAGGAGGAGCGGTGGTAGTGGTCTCAGTGGCGTTTGAAGTGGTCGTTTCTGGTCCTCCCGGCGTAGTCGTTGTTTCAGGAGTTCCTGTGGTTGTAGTGGTTTCAGTACTAACTGTTGTGGTGGCTTCAGTGCTTCCAGTTGTGCTTGAGCTCTCTGTGGTTTCAGGCTCAATCGTGGTTCCTGGCGAAGTCGTCTGCCCCGAGGAGCAATTGCCTGACACCTGATCTGCATGGTTGCACGTCTCGGTCGAAGAGTCCCAGACTGTTCCTTTGCCGCACTTGAAGGCGTAGACTTGGTACTTTCCATTTTTGGCCGCATCCACGCAGCGGTAGTACCGGCGGCAGTCTTCAGGATCGGGGAAGAAGCCCTCCGAGGTGCAGTTATAGTTGGGCTGGGGCTCGGGTTGATTCGTGGTGGTTGGCCCCTCAGTTGTGGTGGTTTCAGAGCTTTGTTGGGTTGTGGTTGTAGCTGGTTCGTTGGTAGTAGTTGGAGGTACCGTAGTAGGTTCGGCAGTGGTGGTAGGCGGGTATCCCGGCATGTTCGTTGTAGTGGGATTGTAGCCAGGGGTACCAGTCGAGGGCTCCTCTGTTGTGGTTGGTTTCTCGGTGGGTTTTGTTGGCGGCTTAGTGACGGGCTCTTCTGTAGTCGTCGGCTTCATTGTGGGTTTCTCCGTAGGCTTTGTTGGCGGCTTCGTTACGGGCTCTTCTGTAGTCGTCGGCTTCTCCGTGGGCTTTGTTGGCGGCTTAGTAACGGGCTCTTCTGTAGTCGTTGGTTTCGTGGTGGGCTTCGAAGTGGGTTTATCTGTCACAGGCTGCTGGGTTGTGGGTGTTTCGGTTGAAGGCTCCCTAGTAGTTGTTGGCTTGGTGGGAGGTCCTTCAGGCTGTGGCGTTGTGGTGCCCGGATCCTTCCACTCTTCAGCCGGGGTGGTAGTCTCAGTCGGCAGATTTGAGCACCTGGGTATGTTTTCCATGTAGTCGCAGGTCTGGACATCTTCATTCCAACCAGTGCCCTTCGGACATGTGAAGTTGTACTTTCGGTACGAGGATCCGGTGCTGATACAGCGATAGTATTTGCGGCAATCTATGGGATCTGCCATGTAACCCTCGCCCGTGCATTCCGTACCCGCTGGCAGTGGTTTCATAGTGGTTGTCACAGGCGATGTTGTGGTTTCCTGTTCGGTATTGCCCGGGGTTGTTGTAGAAGAAATCAATGTAGTGGTCGGCATATCTGTGGTGCTGGGTGGCACTAAAGTTGTGGTCGTGATTGGCGATTCTGTCGTGGTTGTTGGTGGTGAAGATGTAGTGGGGACATCTGGCAAGTCAGTTGTGGTGCTCTGTTGAGTGGTCGTGGTGGTTGGGTTAGTTGTCGTGGTGGTTGGGTTAGGTGTTGTGGACGTTACTGGTTCAGAGGTCGTGGTTGTTCCGTTGGTGGCTGGCTCACAAGGCGGTTTCGGCGTGGTGTCTTGCCCTGTGTTGCAGTTGTTGAAATTGTGGTTGCATGTCTGCAAGTCCTGGTCCCAAACGGTGCCAGCTCCACACTGGAAGGGGATGGCGGTAAATCCTCCCTTGTTGTTACTAACGCAACGGTAGAACTTATTGCAATTGTTGGGATCGGCCATAAAGCCCTCTGATCTGCATTGGCCATTGGTGTTGGGGGATTGGGTAACCGGACTAGAAGTTGGCTGACTAGTTGATGAAGGCGAGGATGTTGTAGGCCGGGAACTGGGACGAGGAGTCGTAGATGAACCTGAGGGCCTGGAGGTAGAGGTTGGCTGCTGCTGTGGTCTAGAAGTCGTTGGCCTGGCCGTTGGTCTGGCTGTGGAAGTTGCAGGCGTAACCGGAGCAGTGCCACCACACTCCTTCACAGCCCAAGGATGGTTACAAGCTTGGGTTTGGGCATCCCAAACAGTACCAGGGCCGCAGTTGAAGGCCACCATATTGAAGCCACCTCTGTCATTATCCACGCAACGATAGAATCTGGCGCAGACGTTGCGATCTCCAATGAACTGTCCATTGAAGGTACAGCTTTCAGAGGGGTTCGAGTTTGTTGGCGTATTTGAGGAAGACGAGGACGATGAACTGCTGCTGCTGGTTGATGAGGATCCCTGATTCGAGCTACTGCTAGAGGAGGAAGAACTAGAAGATGACGTCGAAGAACCCTGATTGTTATTGTTGCTAGATGATGAGGAGGATCCGCTTGTAGAAGAGGAGGATCCTTGGTTGGATGAGGACCCCTGGTTGGAAGATGATCCTTGGTTCGAGGAAGACCCTTGGTTTGATGAAGATCCCTGGTTGGAAGACGACCCCTGGTTGGAAGAAGAACCTTGGTTGGACGAGGATCCTTGGTTAGATGAGCCACTGCTAGAGGATGAACCACTGTTCGATGACGATGATCCACTGTTCGAGGAACTGCTCGAACTAGAACTGCTGTTGCTGGATGAAGATCCACCCTGATTCACAACTTTTTTGCACTTGAGTGGCTTGGTCTGGATCTGATCTGGATGGTTACAGCTGTTGGCTTCGGGATCCCACAGGGTGTTTGGTGGGCAGGTGAAGGAAACCTTTGAGAATCCTCCCTTATTGTTGTCCACGCACCGATAGAACTTTGAGCAATTCTCGTTGTCTGCTAGGAATGTTTCCTCGCTCTCGCATTTCTCCGCTGGTTTGAAAGGTTTCTGGGTAGTTGATGAAGTAGATCCTTCAGTGGATGAGGAAGATGACTGGTTTGAAGAGGACGAAGACTGCTGGGATGATGAACTTTGATTGGAAGAAGAGCCTTGGTTGGAGGAGGATCCCTGGTTGGAAGATGATCCTTGGTTTGATGAAGATCCCTGGTTCGAAGATGACCCCTGGTTCGAGGAAGATCCTTGGTTGGAAGATGATCCTTGGTTCGATGACGATCCCTGATTGGAAGAGGATCCTTGGTTCGAGGACGATCCCTGGTTGGAAGATGAACTTTGGTTGGATGAAGATCCCTGGTTAGAGGACGATCCTTGGTTGGATGATGAACCTTGGTTGGAGGACGATCCCTGGTTGGATGAAGATCCCTGGTTCGAAGATGACCCCTGGTTGGAAGACGATCCCTGATTGGACGAAGATCCCTGGTTGGATGAAGATCCCTGGTTCGAAGATGACCCCTGGTTGGAAGACGATCCCTGGTTGGAGGAAGATCCCTGGTTGGAGGAGGATCCCTGGTTGGATGAAGATCCCTGGTTTGAAGATGAGCCCTGGTTAGAGGACGATCCTTGGTTAGAAGATGATCCCTGATTGGATGAAGATCCCTGGTTGGAAGAGTTGCCACTTCCGCTTGCCATGGCTTTGCATTGTTCCTTTTGGACATCAGTTGGATGATTGCAGCCCTTCGTGTCAGGATCCCATACAGTTCCTGGGGAGCAGTCGAAAGGTACCTTGTTGAAGCCACCGTTGCCATTTTCCACACACCGGTAGAATCGAGCACAATCTTTCTTGTCGGCTATGTATGTTTCCGTATCCTGACATTCGCCATCAGGGTTAGATGGCTTGGAAGTGGATGATTCGTTGCTAGCGGATGAGGTCTGATTATTGGACGAAGAGCTCTGATTACTGGACGATGAACTCTGCTGGTTGTTAGAAGATGAAGACGAGCCTTGATTAGAAGATTGGTTGCTGGATGAGCCTTGATTGCTGCTTTGATTGGATGACTGACTGCCAGATGAGCCTTGGTTACTAGACGATCCTTGACTGCTAGATGATCCTTGGTTACTAGAAGACTGATTGCTTGACGAGCCTTGGTTGCCTGAAGACTGATTGCTAGATGAGCCTTGGTTGTTAGATGAGCTTGAGGACTGATTGCTGGATGATCCTTGATTGCTAGATGAGCCTTGATTGTTAGAGGAGCTTGAAGACTGATTGCTGGATGATCCCTGATTGCCAGAAGATTGATTGCTGCTGTTGGAGCCAGAGTTGCTTCCAGAGTTGCTGCTGCCACTGGACGAGCCCGACTGTATGTTGCATTGCTTCTTTTGGTCGTCAGTGGGTAGGTCGCATACTTTATCTACTTGGTTCCATACAGTGCCTGGCCCGCAGGTGAAAGGCACTTGCTCCAAGTTTCCCTCCTTATCCAGTCGACATCTGTAGAACTTGGCGCAGTCTTTCTGATCGGGAATGTAGGTGTTCTCATCTTCGCACTTGGTGGGCACGGTCTGGTTGTTAGAAGCACTTGAGGATTGATTGCCAGACGAGCCATGATTGCTGCTGGAGGATTGGTTGCTACTGGAAGCCTGGTTGCTGCTAGAGGATTGGTTGCTGCTGGAGCTTTGATTGCTGCCGGCATTCTGATTATTATTCGAGGACTGGTTGCTGCTGGAGCTTTGATTGCTTCCAGAGCCCTGCGAGCTTTGGTTTTGGTTGCTGCTAGAGGACTGACTGCTTCCTAAGCTTTGGCTACCACCAGAGCTTTGGTTCTGGTTGCCACTAGATGATTGACTGCCGCTATTGTTTGATCCTTGATTGTTGCTGGAGCTGGTGCTGGATTCTTGATTGCTGCTGGAACCAGAGCTGGATTCCTGATTGCTGCTGGATGTGGAACTGGACTGCTGATTGCTACTGGATGTTGAAGACTCCTGGCTGGAGCTAGAACTGGAGTTGGAGCTGGATGTGGAGCTGGAGCTCTGGGAGGAGTTGGAGGAGCTGGTCGACGAGCTCTGCTGGCTGCTGGAGGTTGAGTTCTGGTAACTGGATTCCGACGACTGTGTTGACGTTTGGCCAGCATAATAACCATCGTTCTGGGGTTCCGCCTGGTTGCGGCAGCCACCGTTGGCACGTACGTCAAACATGTGGTTGCAGGACTGAAGGGACTCGTCCCACGCCGTGCCGTCCGAGCAGCGGAAGCCGATTTTGTTATAGCCCCGTCCATTCGAGATGCAACGATAAAACACGGTGCAGTCGCTGGGATCGCTCATGAAGCCATCATCTCGGCAAATTATTGCTCCCTCCTCCTCCCCAGCGTCCGCAGCTCTCAGAGACGAGGAGCTGGAGAAGGATATGACAGAGACGCCACTGAGTCCTGCCAGGCCATAATTCGTGGGCAGACGATGTGCCGACGCGTAGGAGCGCAGCTCATTGGCCGCAGGTGTGACGGCCATGTTAAGCACAGCATTACGGTCATCCTGCTCGTAGACGTCCTGGTCCGTCTCCCACTTCCCCAACTCCATGCTGCCGTCCACCTCGTTCACCTGATCCACGCACTCATCGCGTCCGGCCATTGCGGGCGGCAGGCACATTTTCAGCGTGCGGGAGAAGACCGCATCCTCCGGACACGCCAGCAGGTAAGGTTTAATGTATTGGCCCGACCGCCGCTCGCAACGATAATAAATCCGGCAATCATAGTCGTCTGCAAACAAACCCTCTCCAGGACAGTAAAAAGCTACGTCTGAGAGGTCCATTGGCGATGGAATTTCTGAAAAGAATGAACAAGTAAGGGACTCGTCAGATTTTTCGATAAAACTTAAAATTAAAGTGAAAAAAAGAATGGAACTTTAAGGTATAATTGTTTATTGTTGATAAAAAATCAATTTATTTACAATTTTCTGTACTGTTGGCCCAAAGCTTTTATGTAATCAATTGCCCATGCTGGAACTGACTAACATTCGATCCTCTTGACTTAATTTTTTCCGAACTGAAGAGTTTCCATCTACAATTAACATGCGTTTTTCCGAGAAGATATATATCCTGGCAATTTAAAATCGCCGGCTGGAACAAACCATTGAACTGAAACTTCCTGCTACAAATACTCTAGCCTGCATATAATATATGCATATAGGACATACATAGAATGTTCACATCTATCTATACATATATATATTTTGCTCAATTTCGTTTGACATTTTGCGCACTCGTCTTTCGTTTTTCGTTGCTGGATTTTTCGCGCTGTCAAAATAAAATTGATAATTTATTGTCATTCAATGTGCGAGAGTCCTCTTATTTTGGATTTTTTTCTGGTTTTCGTTGTTGTTGGTTACGCAGACTCTGCTGCCTTCCAATAAATTTAAATGCATTTATGGCCGTTACAGCGGAACAAATTCATTTTCAAAATGAATTGTGAGTGTGTGTTTTTTCGGGATGTTTTTACCAAGCTTTACAGTTTTTTTTTTGGTAAGTATTTCCCCACGAAAATCTAAGGGGGACTACGAGGGGTCATGAACATTGCAAAGGCGCGGCTAAAAATTAGACCGGGTCTAGGCATAAATTTACATCAGTCACTGTCTGATATATTTGATTTGGGGTTTTCCCCTCCTTTTTGGGTTATTATTATTGGAGTATGTAAGCCTTGGCCAATGGTTTATGGCTAAAATGGCCGGAGGCAATATATTCTTTATGAAAATTGCCGAATTTAATGGCCATAAAATTTAATTATACCAAATGTGGTTAAGCAGAGCGGGCAGGAATGTTTGTACGAAGAAAAAGTATCTAAGATTTATGGAAACTTTGCATCCCACACTGAGGTGAAATGGGCAAGAAAGTTTCCAGGAACGTTTCTCTAAAATGCCTCCACATGAATATGTATAAATGTTTTAATCTAATAACTATCTCATTCTCGGTTATTTTGAGTTTATTTTTCAGAAAGCAAAAGGGTAAATCAATTAAAAACGTTGCTTACAAAGAAAGCCACTTTAGAAAAACATTGCTTCCCTGTTAGAATACAATTATGCAATTCTAAAATAAATCAAGTGACTTTTATTGTTCTATTAAATTAAAATTCCTATTTGTTCTGCAAAATGTTCAACCCTTTGCTGCCATTTAACTTCATGATGCCTATTTGCATCAATGAACGGAAGCTTAAATTTTAAATGCAACCTCTTGCCGTCCGCGTAACCCACAATCCAGTATACTAATTTAATATAACGCTTCACAGGCCACGGCTTGACTCGCTGCTCGTTGGCAAACAAACATAAAGTTTCAATTTGTACACGAAAGCCCAAAAATGCTAAACCCATTACACAGATGGCGGATGCCCCGGGGTGGAAGAGGAATTGCTGGAGCTGGGCGGATGTGTGTGTGCAACAGGGTCAGAGGGCATGGGGTGGATCCTTGTCGTCGCCCTCCAACGTTGAGGGAAAATTGACCGTTTTACGATTTTAATTATATATGATGTGTACTTTAGAACTTATGCAAAATGAAACGAAAGGAGAGGACGCGCCACTGCGACCACAAACTTATGCGTTGCCCCACGGAGCTTCTGCCCTCCTGCAACCCGGCCACCCCGCCAATGCCCTTGGTATGCAGATATATATGGTCTGGCATCTGCCAACCGGGAGCAGGCGCAACATGGGTTACCCACAATCTGACCGCAGAGCATGGCCGCAAATAGTTTTGGATATGCCATTGCCATTGCCACGCACCACCCCACCGAGAGAGCGTCCACATTCCCCCATCTGCGAGCAACCTCCCCAGGTTGTTGCATTAAAATTTCAATTTTGAACATTTAAGCACGTTACGGTTTACGAAAATTTAGTTATAAAAGCATTCATAAGCACACACACATATAGTCTCGGTAAATATTCCCTCTATTTTTATAGTCTCCTTCTTTTTTGCACAATTTCTGCCACTGTAGGCATAATTTTCGTGGCCAGTTTGCCGGCCAGCCAGGCAGCCATCCAGCTGGCAAAAATGACAAATAGTGATTTGTATTTTTCACTTTATTTTCCTTGATAATTAAATATTTATTGAGCGGCTGGTTTGTGCGGTTTTATGTTTCCCTCCCACTCCCATTGACCATCATCCCTTTTGGGCCGTTAAGAGCTCTAGCTGTCATTGAGTTTGCTTCGTTGAACAGCAATGTCTGTTATTTAAAATTTAATTTGATAAATAGAAAACATGATTCGTTCCAGCGGCTGGCAGATCTTACCCCAACAGGGCATCTGTAATTTAGTTGTGCTTTCGGTTACACTGTTTTTGTTATTTTTTGTTTAATGGTTGTTTGTTTTGGAGGTTTTCACAAAACACCAACTTGGGACATTTAAGTGTGCCATTGTAGCTGCGGGCAGTTTCTGGTGTGTGTTCGGTGGGTTGTACCATTTTGTAGCAGGAAGGAAGAGTGAATTTTACTTAATTAGTCATTAAAAGTTTTGTCATTATAATCAGTGCTCAATTTCAGGAGTTTCAGCGAGGTATGGACCTACTAAAATAATCTATTCATTTATTAGAGCTTTAGTTTCATCTAAAATGCCTTTAAAGGATAAATGTTTTGGTGTATTTTTGACTGACTTTACTCTGCTCGATTCCTAGCTCAAAACAACATCACCATCTCCCAACATGGTTCGGTGACTTGATTGTATTAACATGGCGAGTGCAATAAAAAAAGCACAAATCCAAATGTCAGTTAGCAGCTCGACATTAGCCGTTTGTCCCATCCCTTAAAATCCTTTACTCCGGCTCTGTTTTTCTCTATTCCCCGGTCCCTCTGTGGCGCTGGGAAACTCCCCAAGGGGCTTGTAGTTGCAAGTTGTAAATATGATATTTGGATTTTTGAGCTTTTGGGCCATCGTCGGGTTGGCAACTCGGTAATTTCATTTGCCTCTGGTGGCATTTTGCCGTTGCGCCTTTATGCTGGGAATGGAAAACGTACTATCTGTATGTACGTGTTGGCCGTACTGGCCGTACTGACCGTTCTGGCCGTGGTAGTCCTCGCCAGTATTTTCATTTCAAGTGCATGTTTATGCCACGCCCATTTCATTTTACCCGGTCTACAGCTCAAATTTCATGGTGGCAAATGACCAGCTACAGGAAATTCAATTTATTATGCAGCTTGACAGTTTTTAGCCATTCTCTCTCTAAGATGACAGCTGCTCCGGCTCATGTCCCGTGCTCCTCGCCTGCTCCTGCCCCACTCTCTGATCCTGGGCTGCTGCTTTCTGACAGCTGCAGTGGATGAAACAGAAAATAAAAATGAGTGAACTCCTCGCTAATTCTGGCATCTGTCTGGCTTCATTTTAGAATCTCCTTTCTTATTTTTAGATTCTCGCCAACCGATTTCGAATGCGATGCGCCAGATGCATTTGAATTTCGCGCTGCGTTGCGCTCGAGCAGATTTTAATATTGGCAATGTCCTTGAGGGCATCGATTGGTCGCCATTCCCATTCTCGCCCGGCCAACAGTTCCAGTCATTACTCATACGCAGCGTGTGACACAATCGCCACTATGCATTATTCATTGCGATGCGGCTTCGGTGGATAAACTTGTCGGAAAAGCTGCCGACAGCTGGCAGGAAAATGTTAAATATTTAAATGCCTTTCCCCCACAAACCCAACTCGAGCCAGCTTGCTGGGTGTTGCCTTCAACTTGGAGCAATTAATTTGAATTTGAACTATTTAGAGGCATCGGCACTCATCGTTTCAGAGTGATTCCGGGGCGGTGGACCACGGCTGTATCGTACCCAGGACTTTCCCTCGTGCCGGTAAATTAAGCATAAAGCGCTTTTAGTTACAATCACGTTCGTCTCAATTAAACTACATTAAATTCAATTAGCAGGCAACAGGAACACGAAATGAAAGCAACATTGTCATTACGGTTTCAGGCGATGAAACTACTTTACACTGAAAAATAAAATACACTCCAAAAAGGCTACTACGTTTAATGAATAATTCATTAGTTCTTTTTATCAGCCAGTTGTTTTTAGGCCCAATTAAATTAAAAAACTTTTTTCTGCATTATTTTTTGTATTTCTTTAAGTGCATTGGAAAGGTCTCCTGGGCAGAAGGAAAAGGACTCAAGACCCAGGACGAAAGATAGGCTAAGGGTGGCAAAAATCTAGCGATGGCCTGACTGACAATTGACTTTCATTATTTCCTACATTCTTGGCTGCATTATTGAGGCCTGGCGCTGGGCATATTTGACAGGACCAAGGAGCACCCGATTTCTTAGTGCTGTTCCTTACAGCTGCTTCTGCTGCCTTGGCGTGTTAGTTTCCTTGTGTAATTAAGTTTAATATTTAATTTAATTGCATATAGACACACAACTACATCGTCCCCGGGCTTCATAAAAGGACACGCGCAGAGACAATGTTGGCCATTTTGCTGCTGCTAACTGAAATTATGATGAAAGAACCGGCAACGGCAGTGGCGAAGGCAAAGGCTTTTACAGTTGGGTGGCCAAAGAGGATGGGCCATGGGGGTGGGTAAGCTCGCCAAAGAAAGCCATAAAGGTGAAGGTCAGTCTATAACTTCCTCGAAACTGGTACGTGCTCGTCTTAGGCGGGACTTAGCCCAGTGTCCGATGTCCAGTTATCCTGTGCGGGAGTGCCTTGGTCAGTTGCTTCTCTGGTAAGTTACTTCATTTGGCGCTGGCGCCACTGCGAACTGCTTGGGGCTGCATTATTATCATTGGAGTTTTCCCCCAAACCGCTCGCTAGGCTGACCGACTTATATTATGTCCTTGCTGCAGGATTATGGCGTGTTAGCA